AACCAGGTTAGCGGACTGTAAGGGGACCGAACCAAAGGGGGAGATCAGAAGGAGCCATGGAGGGTCCAGACCTGGTTGCTCAGGCTTAACGTGCACTGGGTCCCGCGCTCAGAGGCATCTGGGCACCGCCCACCTCCGCCCCGCCCCTTCTCCTCGGATTATCCAATCGCACAGTCTTCATGTAAATAAAGGACCTAGAGAGAGCCTATGAGAGGGCGGCAGAGGCGTGGTCTTCATCCTCCTCCCGGGCAATGTTCTGATTCATTGTTAAAATAAAGAGGCTGTGACCTCCGTGCCCAACCCTGGCACCCCCTTGTGCATGGAAACTCGAGCCGAGGTTAGTTCTGCGCATTGGAAAGGGTGGAGGGGAGGAGGGTAAGCGGGAAAAGGTAGCGGAGTGAGGATATGGAGAGGGACTGGGGGACTGGCTGCATGGAGAGAGGTCTACGGGTCTATTCTCCGGGTGGAGCATCCATGTCCTCTGCAGGTTTTTCATTGTTATATCCGCATCTAAACTGCATTTCAGAGAAGGATTCTGCCGATTGGTTGCGGGTGGGGGAAGAGGAAGCGGGAGCAGTGAGGGGGACATGGAGTAGAGTCCTCTACATCCGCTCCCAGGGAAATGAGCAGCGGTCTCCATCCCAGGAGATACTCCTTTATGTGGCCAAACTGGGAAAGAACTGCCGGGCTGGGCGGGACCAAGTCCCTCCTGGTCTACCACTGGGAGCTGGGAGCAGCGATGCTGGGAGGAGAGCCCAGAGAGGATCAGAGACCCCACCCTCTTCCCCATAGACCGTGCCCTGCTGCCTCCCAGGTCTGATGATGGAGAAGCCAAGAACCTTCGCCCTGGCTGCCCCAGCAGAGGACATGAAATTCCCCAGTTCTCGGGTGAGATTGGCAAGGAAGGCCTGATTCCCTGGGACACTGGAGGAAATTCTCCAGGTGAGGAAAGTACCGGGCAGTGACTTGGGGTGCCATAGGGGCAGGTGTGTTTGGGAATATGGATTCCTCTCGCCCCACCCCCTCCTGGCGCTCTGTGTGGGTTAGGAGGGCATCTTCAAGTCACTCTTCTGTTGGGGCTACCCCTCCCCCCCCCCAAGGGCATGACAGTGGAGCTCCCAGGAGCACAGAAGGGACAGCCACAGGCACAAGTCAGAACACCAGGGTTCCTCTTTGGCCAGGCTCTGCCACAAACTTGCTGTGTGACGTTAGGTTGTTACTTTTGTTCATGACTTTGTCCTCAACTCTGAAAAGACCTGGCTGGCCTTTTGCCTCCCAGTATTCCCCCAAAGGACCTGTGTGGGTTGGCAGGGTGATCCAGTGCCCTTCACTTCCACCTCCTTGTGTGTGTGTTTGGGGGGTGGTGGGTTTGAATCCAGTTCAGCCACTGGGGCCTTGCAAGTTATGGAACCTCTGTGAGCCTTCCTTGCTTCATCTGAAACTGACATGAATTTTATCCACAATGCAGGATAATTGTAAGGCACGGGCACTCCAACTTTGGGGTGCATGAGTGCCCTAGGAGACTTGTTTAAAATGCACACCCCTAGGCCTCACCTCCAGAGAGATTCTAAGTAGGCGGATCTGGGGAGAGACCTGGGAATATGCATTTTATAAACAGCTCTACTGAGTCTAGCAGGGTCCTCGGAACACACTCGGAGCAACACTGCAGTAATAACTAGGAAGCACGTGTCAAGTGCTTGGCAGAGTGCCTGGTGCTTAGTAGGTGCTTAATGGGTGTTTGTTGAGTGAATACATGAACAGATGGATACATGGATGAATAACCTTATTTCCTTGGTCTTTGTCTGTCCAGGGGGAAGCTGGGGCTGGGGTCCGGGTACACTACTAGCCAGTCACCTGGTCCTCGCCTCCCTGCTCCATTCTTCCCGGGCCCCACCAGTGGATTGCAGCAGCTGCCCTGGCCTGACTCACCCAGTATGGAGGGGGAGGCTGGGAATGCCTCCTGTGCACACTGTGAGGCCAATGTGCTTGCCCAGAGCTGCTGTCAAAACTGCTTCCACCCTGAGGAGGCCTACAGAGCAAGGCACCAGGTGGGCTGGCACTCCTGAGTGGTCGGGTGGTTTGGGATGGGGGCGTCCGTGATGGGCTGGGGCCTGACTGGGACACTCACTTGCAGTTGAACCCAGACACTGGCTTTCCTCCTGGGCAGAGCCTCAGTTTTTCCATCTGTTCAATGAAGTAGTGGGACCACGTGAATGTTTCCCGAATGCCAGGCATTCTCCCGATTTTATGGGTTTGTGTTTTGTTTTTTTGCCATTGCCTCATGTAATCTATTACATACCTTATTCTTTAAATCAACTCCCTTTTTTGACTTCCACTAAAGCAGAACTTTACATCACCACCACAAATAGAAAACTAGGACCATATCCTTTACATAAAAGGTTAAAAAGAAGGAAAGAGAAAGATGAAAAACAGAAGTGTCTTTAAATTCTAACTAGAGAATTTGCTGGCCAAATGTTCTGAACCTGAGTCCTGCTGTCTGTTAAAAAGGGAGGTTGGGGGGGCGGGGATGGGGGGAGGTTGGCAGGTGCTAGAGAGATGTTCAAGATACCCCAGCAGCCACTGCAAAGGTTCTCCTTGAAGGTGTTGAAGGAGTGAAGCATTTTCTCACTTTGGGAACCATCTGGTCTTGGGTCAAGTCCCCACACACATAAACCCAGAGCTCCTGATACACACGCTATGAGAAGCGTTGGACCCTGAATCTCCATGGGCCCGTCAGCCTTGGTGCCTCGTGGGCCTGTTATTCCCACAGGGTCCTGAGGCTCCTCTTAAGCCTGGCAGCCAGCACCATGCAGGGGGTTAGGCTCTGAAGTGACCAATATGAGTGAGGCATTGTTCAGCTTTGGAGCCACACGGCCAGCGTTCCAGGGCCAGGTTTGCCGTTTCCCCGCCGTGTGACCGTGGGTCATTTACCCTCTGGCTTCACTGTCCTAAAGAGAAAAGGCAGCAAGGCTCCTCACTCAGGGCCTCTGGCGCTGCTTAGCCGCAGTCACAGGTGGCTAATTCAATACGCCTTAGTTTCCCCTCCCTCCTTCCTGATCAGGCAAACCAACCCGGGAGATTCCTTTTTGCCCGTCCTGATTCCTGTAGTAACAGCTCCCCTCCCCCCAAGTTCAGGGAACAGCGGCCGGAAAGCTCAGTGAGTCCATCTCCCATGCAAATCACCTTCTCCTAATGGGTGGGGAGATGGCAAGTCAGGAACAGGAGAAGAAATTTTGATTCAGACAGGTTTGGGTTCTAGGGTTAGTCCTTCCACTTCCCGGCTGAGACGGGCCAGTTCACATGTTCACACATATTGAATAGGTGCTTCACGTGTGCCAGGCATGATGCTAGATGCTGGGGAAACAGTGAAAAGTAACACAGACACAGTCCCTGGTTCATGGGGCTTGCAAACTAGCAGGAGAAATGGAAACTAACTAATCGTGCCAAGAATTACGGTTGTGGTAAAGGTAGTAAGGAATAGCAAGTGGCATGAGGATCAATGATTGGTTTCTCCAAGGAAATGACATTTCAGCTGCTTGGTAAAGGCTATGTGGGGACATTGGCCAGTGAAGTTAGGGGAAGAGGAGAGGAAGGGAACAGTAGGTGCAAAGGCCCTGAGGCAGAAAGGAGGAGGCACATTGGAGGTTGGAGAGAGGCCACCAAGAGGGAGAGGCACAGGAACTCCAGGACAGTGTTGGAGAAGGAGGTGGGGGATGGTCTCTGTGGGCTTCCTGGGGCCTTGTAGACATGCTGACTTCCAACTTCTTCCTGAGAGGCATGGGAGCCACTGAAGATTTTAAATGGAAGTGATGTGATCAGATTTGCATTTTCCAAAGTCACTTTGACTGCAGGACAGAGAATGGAGTGCAGGGAGTGAGAGTAAATCAAGGTGACCAGTGAGGAAACGGTGTTACTCCTGCCAAAGATGATGGAGACTTTGAGATGGAGAGAAATGGACACATTTCAGAACTAATTGAACAGGGGAACCTAAAGGATTTGGTACCTGAGGCACGTGGAGGGGTGAAACATGGCTGACTTCTAAGTTATTTCCTGAGGCAGGTACTTGGGATAGGAAATCCGTCGGGAGTGGTTGGGGGCGGTGAGTGAGAGGTGCCTGTGGGCCACACTATAGATGAGGGAAGTCACTGAGTTATGGAGCTGAGGAGCCAGACCTCAGTGGGAGATCAAGGCTCTCGAATCATCAGGATCTGACACTGATGAAAAGTCTTGCTCATGGATAGGTTGTTTCAAACCTGTAGAGTCACAAAATCTGTGTTTAAGAAGCATCCCCCAGCCTGGATGGGGCTGTGTGGGGCCTAGCTGGGGCCTTAGTTAATCTGGGCTCCAACTCTTCCCTGGGGGCCTGGAAAGATACCTCTTGTGGGTGGAAATAATTCTGACATCTTTACCTTGGAATATGCAGGAATGGCCCAGGCCCCTCCCCGAAGCTTGTTCTGGCTCCCCTGGGATCCCAGCTCTGGATCTGCCTCTACTCTGTTCTCAGCTGAGTCCCACAGGCCGGGGGAGGGCTTATCCCTGGAAATCACAGGGCCTGGAGCAGGTCACGGCCAGGTTCTGGATGGAGGGAGGGAGCCTCACTGGGAGGGTCGCGCTGTGTGCCAGGTACTGCACATCCCTTTTTAAAGTATTCCTATGTGTGTTTAACATTCTATTGATTCAACACTAATAAAATTCTATTTCATCTTTATACGTTACCTATTATATTTAAGATGTACAAACTAGACAATGTTCTAAGCCCCTTACAAATATTAACTCCTTTCATTCTCATAGCACCCCTAGGAGGTGGGTCCTCTTATCATCCCGGTTTTATAGATGAGAAAACCAGGCTCAGAGAGGGGAAGCCACAGGCTGAGGTCACCTAGCTGGGAAGTGGAGGTGCCAGGATTGGGCTTGATGTCTGTCTGAGGCCAGAGCCTGTGCTGACCCGCCAGACAGGAAATCAGAGCCAGGGACTGGCTGCTGGGCTGCTCAAGTGGGCGATGGGTATGATGGGGGCTGGGGGTGAGAGCAGGAAGGAAGTGCCATGCCTGGCTGGGGTCTTATTGGGCTCAGCTGGGCTCGGACCCCTTGGCAATGCCCAGCAAGCTGCTCCCGCCTCATTCATGCTGCGAGGTCCCTGGGGTGGCCCAGGCGCCAGGCCGGGCTGTGGATCTGACACCTCCCGCTACGAGCTCTGATCAGAATCTGGCTCCAGGGCAGGGGGCGAAACTGAACCCAGTCGGGCTCCTCTGGCTTGGATGGCATGGCAGACACCCTAGCCCCACTCCTTGGCCTTGCCCAGGACCTGCCAGGGGCCACCTTCTTGGAACCCAGAGAGTCTGTGCCCACCCCGGGGGTTGTGTCCAAGCTGTGGCCTCAGCCCTGAGCTCTGGGCTCCAGGGTCCCCAGGGAGCCCAGGCCCAGGCCCCCGCCCTGCCAGCTCTCAGGTGAGCTGTGGGGATCAGGTTCCTGTGGTTTCATGTCCTGCATTGTTCTTGGCTGGGCCCCGGCTTATGAAACAGTAATGAGGGGCCCCTGCTCCCGCAGCCGGCCCCTCTAAGGTTTCTGCTGCCTCGGCCGCCGCCGCCACGGCCCAGAGTTGGGGCCTGGGAGGGCCGCAGCGTGGGGGCCTGAGCCGGAGCCCCCCGGGGACGAGGGTGCTGACAGCCGCCAGCCGCCACCGCCGGAGCCCGCCGTCCAGGTAACCCGAGAGGAGGCGGGGTGCAGGGTGCTGTGGCCGCTGTCTCCCACCACCAGGGGAGGGCCCTGCCACCCCAGGAGGTGGGGAGGAATGGGGGGGCCTTCCCGGAGGTGAGCAGCCGTTCCCCCTGGGTGAGCCCAGCACCAGCCTTCACAGGTGTGGCCTCAGTGAGGGCGGAGGGAGAGAAAGCCAGCAGTCAGCTCAGGGCCTCGCCTCCACCCTGGGGCCCCCTGCCCTCCTTCAGTGGGCAAATCTCTCCGATGAGGCCTTCTTTCCCCATCTCCTCCCTCAGACAGCCTCTTCCTCCCTCCCTCTGCAGGCTGGTTTAACCCTTCTTCCCCACCTGCCTTCCTCCTTTCCAGCTACAGAAAGCTCTTTGGCCCCTTCTGTGCACGTCATGTCCCCAGGCACACACACCTACATATGTGCCAACACATATAAAGGAACTTGCATGCACTTATGCAAACATGCACTAGTGTACCCCCCGGCCTTGCATACACATGCATGCTCATGTGCACAGCTGCACACACACAGGCCTTTATACGCCCACATACCTGTACACACGTGTGCATGCACACACTGTACCTTGGTCTGCCCTCAGCCTTGATCCCCAGGGGCGCTTCCAGCCTGATGGACAGCTCTCCTGAGAAGTCTGAGATCCTAGGAGGAGATGCCTGGAGACTTCCACACCGCCTGGTGGGGGGAGGGGCCGCGCAGGGGGAGGGGAGCCCCCACGTGGGCCATGAGGTGCCTCCTCTCTGCAACTCTGTCCCAGGAGCCCGGGAGCCCTCCAGGTGCTGAGGCACCCTACTGCGACCTGCCCCGCCGCCCGCCTGCATCTGAGGACCTGCACAGAGCCTCAACCTCTGGGTGCCAGTCTGTGGTGGGCCTCGGCCTTGGGCCAGAGTCCGAGAGGTGGGTAGAGCTCCAGGGCTTGGGGAGGGGCTCCCTGGGGTAGCCCTCACTTACCCCACCCCACACCCCTTCACAATGGCAGCGTCTGTCTATGGTGGCTGCTAGCGTGGGTCACATGGTCAGGCCATACAGCTGGGCACACGGGCATGTTCCTGGGGCCCTAGCTCAGCTTTATTCCAGGATACAGAGCACCCACGCACCCACCCTGCCCTGGGCATGGCTCACAGCCTGCTTACATTTCCTTGTTCTCTTTGCACAGCTTTAAAAAATTAAACAGGTTTACCACCCACCTGTCTGACTGTGCATGGCTCCCGGCTCTGGGATTCCCTCCACCCACATCCTGAGCTGCACTGAAGTCCCTTTGGGGCTGAGGGGCTTTGGGAGGGCATGGCTGAGGGTCTAGAAACCTGGGGTCCTGTTTCAACTTCAGCCCTGTTGGGCTGTGGGACCTTGGACAAGTTATTCCCTCACTCTGTGCCTCAGTTTCCCCATTTGAAAAATAAGAAGAATTGAATCAAACCAGCATTGCTTTGGGAACATGTGTTCCTCACAGGTAGACATTTTTAAAAAAACCAAAACCTCTGCCATCAAATAGTTTCAGAAAGTCTGAGATCCACAGAGTTGGATGTCTTTCTTGCAGGACTTGTCAAAGCCTGTAGTTTGCAGACATGCATTGTGCTTCTGAAGGGGGGAGGTAGATGTGTGTAGTATGTCCCAAAGTTATTTGACTGCAGGCCTCTTTCTTGGGGGTCAGCACCCCTTTCCATCTTGTAGGCCAATCTGTGGGCCACTCCTTGGGGATACTGCCAGCTCTAAGCCTGCTAAGGCCTGTGGCCACCCTCGCTGGCTTCCCCTAAGCAGGGCTTTCTCTGCAGCGCCCTCCCTTGGCATCCAGACTGGTGCCCCTGCCACTGCCCCTGGAGCTCTGCTGCCTCTCAGAGCCCCCCATTAGCGCAACACAGTTATGTCTGGGCTTCCTGAGCTTGGGTCCCCACTGCTGCTCCAGTGACAGAGGGTCGAGGCTGGCGCCACAGCCCTGGTTCACAGTGCAGTGCTGCCCTTTTCTAGTTCTGTGATCTTGGCCAGTCCTGGGCCTCTCTGAGCCTCAGTTTCTTCATCTGTAAAATGGGAATCATTACACTCATTTCAAAGAGAGGCTGTTGTAGCTAAGCCAGGCAGACATAGAGAGCCCTGGTGTCAGCTCCCTCTTCCCCTGTAACGTGAGGTGTGTGTGTACCTGGATGGGGGTGTTACTTCTTAATTCCCATAACTTTTGGGGGAAAAGTCATGTGTCTGTCTCCTCTCTCAGGAGGCCGGCGACAGGGCTCCCTGCAGAGCAGGAGCAGGGAGCCACCCCCAGGAGCAGGAGCTGGGACTCCGAGGCAGTGCCCTATCTGGAGGGCCCAGCCTCCTCCCTGTGCAGCTTCGACGAGGGCCCTGACTCTGGCACTAGCTCCAGCCCTGACTGTGACGCCCCTGATGATACCAGCAACTCGTCCTCTGTGGTGAGCTGGGGGCGGGAGGCTGAGGGCACGAACAGATCACCCCTCTGTGCCAGCCCCAAACTCCCAGAGGAGGGCTGGGCCTCACACCAGGGACCTGTGCCAAGGGCCCCTGGAGGCCTAGTGCGTCAGGCTGCCCCGACCACCCCACCTGGGAGAGGTAGGGGCCGGTGCAGGAGGGCCGGGCTCTGCCTATGAAATAATGGAGGAAGGAGTTTTGGTTGATGGGCGCTCCATGTGAATCACCAATGGGCTCAGGTTGCCAAAAACTCTCAGGTCACAGGTCACAGAGGGCCAGGAGGTTGGGTGTTTTGTCCAGAGCAAGGATGGGGTTGGTCCTGGCCCTGCCTTGGTTACACACCACTGCACCCTATGACCAGCGCTGGCAGAGGACAGAGGGAACGGAGTAGGCTGGGGGTGGGGTGGGTGCTGGGCAGAGCTGGGCCGTTTCCCTGAGAGAAGAAGGGAATCAGGAACTTCCTGGGCATTCACCCCTCAGAGGGCCTCCCCGGGTAGAAGAGGCAGACTGTCTGTGAGACCTCCAGGAGGATGTGACAGGGAAGTGATGAGGCGGCCAGCATGGGCTCAGGAAGGCTCACCACCTGCTTTATGGCCCTGTTTGGGGGCAAGAAAACTGAGACTCAGAGAAGGGAAGCAATTTAGTGGAAGCCGTACATCTGGGAAATGGCAGGGCGAGGCTTTGAAACGACTTCTCTCTGGATCATGGGGTTGTCTCTGGGGCGGGGACTGCTATGCCAAGGCCCTCCTACCACATGGTGTCCCCTGGGTTCAAGTCCCCGCCCACATAAACCATTTCCCAGCTGTGTGATTCGGGCAAGTTCTTGGCTCCACAGACTGCCTCCCTCAGGAGTTGATTCCAGATGAGTTGAGTTGCCACCTAAGAGCCCAGCAGAGTGGTGGGTATACAGTAGGTGCCCTTTCAATGCCAGGTCCTTTCCTTCCTTCTACCCATCTCATGCTGGGGGTCTCTCTTCTTAACCTCCAAGCACGCTTTCTCCTCTCCTTCCCTGGCAGGACTGGGACGTTGTCAAAAGGCAGGAGGAGGCCCCCGGCGGGGACGAGATCACCGAGATGATCCCTCGGAAGCTGCAGGAGGGGTCAAGAGCTGACAGCACCCAAAGGGCTCCGTCCGTCCTCACCCGGTCCCCTGTGGGAGGAGACACTGCGAGCCAACGGAAGGAGGGTGAGTCCTTCTGCCGGGCCAGGTTGGTTCCTGTGACTGGATGGAGTGATTGCCAGGGGCCATCTGGGTCCCTGGGCACATCGCACTTTGCTGGCTCAAGTCCTAATAATAGTAACAGTCTCATCTAATGATGGAGCAGGCATGCGTCCATGCAACCTGCTTTATACACATCTCCCGCAATTGGTGGGCTAGGATTTTCAGGTTGCAAGCGACAAAGTAGCTGAGTAAAAAGTCGAGGGGGAGCCTGACCAGCATGGCTCAGTGACTGAGTGTTGACCTACGAACCAGGAGGTCATATTTCAAGTTTCCGGTTTTGGGCTATATCCCCAGTGTGGGGCATGCAGGAGGCAGCCGATCAATGATTCTGTCTCATCATTGATGTTTCTATCTCTCTCCCTCTTCCTTCCTCTCTGAAATCAATTAAAAAATAGATTTTGTTAAAAAAAAAGTCTAGGGGGAGATGACTTCAGGCATAGCTGGATCCAGGTGCAAACAGTATCAGAAATCCGGCCTCTGCTCCGCTTTCTTCTGTGGTGGCTTCATTCTCAGCCAGACCCTCCCCCATAGTGACATGATGAGCAGCAGCAGTGCCAGGCTGTATCCTACTTGCTTATCAACTTCCACAAACAGAAGGTACAATCTTCCCAACAGATGTAGCTAAAGTCCTAGGAAGGCTTCTCCAGGGGACCCAGCTTGGGTCATGTGCCCAATCAGGGGATCAGGGGTAGGGTCAGCCCCCTGCACAAACCTATGGCTTGAGGGTGGGGAAGAGGAGGTGGCCCAAAGGAAATCAGGGTGGTGTTCCCAAGGGAAGGGACAAGGCTGCTGGTCAGGCCAAGCCCAGAGAGTCACGTGAGGCTGGCTCCCACAGCTCGGGCCCTCCCATCACTGCTGCACTGTGTTGCTCCTGATCTGCATTTCCAGCATCGTCAGGGTTCGGGGATATGGGCCCGAGCATCCAGGTTCTACCCTGGTGGGCAGGCCTGGCTTCCTATGGCTCCTGCAGCATCCAATCATCAAACATGCCAGTGCTAACTATGCACAAACCTGGTACCAGACAGTGGGTGTTCAGGAGGAATTACCCGGTCCCTGCCCAGACAGCTCGTCCCCCAGCACAGCAGCCCAGGACGGAGGAGGAGCAGAAGCGCGTGCCCTGCTGTGAGCAAAGGGCTGTGTGGGAAGTGGGGGCAGAGGACAAAGAGCTTCCTTCCAGCCAGCGAGGGACTCACAGAGGAGTGGCTCCTGGCCGTGGTGCTCTGGCTGAGGAAACAGCCTGGCCACGGCTTGGAGGTGTGAATGGGGAGTGCTCTGGAAGGTGCAGCTAGAGCACAGTTGCTCAGACCACCCTGGGCCAAGGCGTTTGGACTCACTTCTCTAAGGAGTAGGGAGCCATGGGAGGATTTGGAGGAGAGGAGTGATATGTTTGGACCTGTGCCTAAAGAAATTCACCAGGGCGAAGTGTGAAGGATGGAGTGGAGCAGGACGAGGCTGAGAAACCAGTAAAGGGACTGCTGCAGCCACTGTAGTGATAACTGATTCAGGCAGGAATCACCGGCTGATGCTAAATTCCTGGGTGAAAGATATTCACCCAGGATATTCACACGATCTCAAAGTATCACCCCTCAGATTGCACATCGATTACAGAGGGAAAAGGCACCCTTAGGATGGGAAGATCTGGCAGATCTTCCTTAACCAAGTGGCCGCTCAGCATCCCAGCGGGGGCAAAGTGGCGTCAGGTGCTCCCATGTGATGCACGGTGTGTGTGTGTGGGGGTGTCACAGCATCCTTTCCAAGTCTTCTGGCTGAAAATGCACCGCCTGCATCTGGTCCCACCAAAATATCAGACAAACCCAAATTGAGGGACTGTTTGCAAAATAACTGGCAGGACTCTTTAAAAAAATTTTTTTTTAATGATTGATGAGAGAGAGAGAGAGAGAGAGAGAGAGAGAGAGAGAGAGAGAGAGAGAAACATCATCGGTTGCCTCCCACATGCTCCCCGACCAAGAATAGAGCTCGAAACCTTTTGGTCCATGGGACGACACTTCAACCAGCTGAGCCACCCAGCCAGGGCTGACAGGACTCTATGAAAGACGAAAAAGGCCTAGGGAACTATTCTCGAATAAAAGAGGCTACAGTGGCAGAGAAGCAAATGCCATGTGGGATCCTGGGGTGGAGCAAGGATAGGAAAAGTTATAACTCTGGAAGACATTATTGTGACAGCCAGGGAATTTGAATATGAAGTGTATGTTAGATAAAGGTTTTGGACCCACGCTGTATTTCCTGAGTGCGGTGATGGGAGGAAATGGTCCTTGCTCATGGGAGATGCATTAGGAGAGCATAGGGGGTGAAGAGTCATGAGGTCTTCAACTCTCACATGTTCAACAAGATAGATGACAGGAAGACAGAGAGATAGACACAGGTAGATGACAGGTAGGTAGGTAGGCAGATGCGAGGATAAAGCAGATGAGACAAACTGTTAACAGCTGGTCACTCTGGGTGAAGAATTGCTCTCTGGGTGATGGACGCACCACTCCTGTAACCCCTCTGTAGCCCGTGGCAATTGTCCAGGGGAGAGATGGAGAAACCTGAATTAGGGCGGTGGCTGTGGGTGAGGAGCGGACAGAGAAGGAGAGAGGTTTAGAAGGTGGACTTGATGGGAGTGGGAACAGGAGAACGCACGGTCCCAGCTGCTGGTCTGGGTGTCTGTGTGGACGGCGATGCCTTTCACTGACCGTGGAGAACTGGGGAGGAGGTGCAAGCAGTGTGGGCCGAGGTGGATCCAGAGCCTGGGAAGAGGTGTAGATTCAGGGAAGAGGTGTAGATTCAGGGAAGAGGTGTAGATTCGGGGAAGAGGTGTAGATTCGGGGAAGAGGTGTAGATTCAGGCAAGAGGTGTAGAGCCAGTTGCTCAGTGATGGGTCAAGACCATTCTCTGGCTACTCCTTTGCTGATGCCTCTTCCTCCGCTCGACCTTCAAATATGGATGCCCCAAAGCCTGGTCCTGGGCTCCCTTCTCTCCCCTCTCTGACAACTTGACAACACCTGGCTGTCAACGCTATCTGGAAAAATCGGCATCTCCTGGGTTCACACCTCTGGCCTTGATCTCTCCCCTGACCTCTATCTAGTTCATTGTACAACTGACCTCTTCACTGGGTGTAGGATAGCACCTCACACTCAGCACAGCTTCCTCATTTCACTCATCGATAAGTATTTATCAAGCACCTACTGTGTGCCAGGCCCTGGCCTAGTGCTAGAGAGCCAGAGGGGAGAAGACAGACAAGACCCAGTCCCTGGAGCTGGCCCTCCAGTGGAGAGAAGCTGGCAGAAAACAAACAGGAAGCCAGAGCAGAAAGCGGCAACTGCTTTTGGGAGAATTAAGACAGGGAACGGTGAGAGTGACTGGCCAGGTGGACAGGGAGGGCCTAGGGCAGTGATGGCAAACCTATGACACACGAACTCATTTTTTTGGTTGATTTTTCTTTGTTAAATGGCATTTAAATATATAAAATAAATATCAAAAATATAAGTCTTTGTTTGACTATGGTTGCAAATATCAAAAAATTTCTATATGTGACACGGCACCAGAGTTAAGTTAGGGTTTTTCAAAATGCTGACACACTGAGCTCAAAAGGTTCGCCATCACTGGCCTGGGGGGCGGGGGAGTGGCATTGTGGCTGATCTGAGTTCACAAGCAGAAGGAACAACCAGTACAGAGGCCCTAAGGAGTGGACGGGTGCTGGGTTCGAGAAGCAGAGGAAAATGGGTGGAGAGGAGGCCACCAGCCACCTAACTCTCCCTCCAAACCTGTTTCTCCTGCAGTCTGTTCTGTGTCACCACCCGCCCAGCAGTTGGGCCCCAAATCCTGATTCCTTTCTTCCTTCACCCTTTCGACCACCAGCAGCTCTGCTCAGCGCTGCCTTCAAAACACACCTCCAATCTGTCCCCGTCTTGCTGTCTCTACCATAACCCCCTGGCCAAGCCACCATGGCTGCCGCTGGCCAGCATTATTGCCAGAACCCCTCAACCTCTCCCGCTCCTGCTGGCCCCTTCAGTCCATTCCCCCCACAGCAGCTGGAGCCATCTTTTAAAACATTAATCAGATCTTGTCACCTCACCGCCCCATCCCACTGCGCTGTCCCCTCAGGCCCTGGGGAGACTGTGGTGAGACTAACACATGGAGACCCAGCACCTCCCTGGTGTGAATGGGTGACAGGCACCTGCTTTCTTGCTCTTAAACACATGAGCGTGGGTGGGCGAGCCTCCTCTCTGACCTGCTGATCAAAGGCAGTCACCTCCTCTGTCCACCTGCTGGCAGGGGCCCAAATTGCAGGCAGGGTGCCAAGGCCCAGGAGGAATTAGCCAAATCCAAGACACTAGGAACTCCCTGACATCCCTCGTGGGGCATCTCTCAGTTTGCAAAGCACACTCTCCCTCACCGTGCATTGCCTCTTCTCTCTTAGACCCGGGTGGTGGGAGCCGAAGCGCCGGGCAGCACTGGGCGAAGCTCCGGGGAGAAAGCGGGCACTTCTTGGAGCGGCACCGGGCTTCCTCTGAGACACCACAGAGCGGACCGCGAAGTGCCGCCCCCCAGGCTTCCTCTCTCCGCCGCTCCGCCCAAAGGGACGCTGCCCAGACGGCTGCCGTACAACTCGATGCCCCCCGAGCTTCCTCTCCCTCCCAAGCAGCCCAACGGGACAGCCCCAGGACCTCGTCCACCCAACGGGACACCCGCAGGGCTTCTTCCACGCAGCAGAGCGCCCCCAGAACGGCCTCTCCCTCAAGAATCACCCAACGGGATAGTTCCAGAACCTCGTCCACCCAACGGAGCAATCCTCGAGTTTCCTCTTCCCCCAGAGCCGCCCAACAGGACAACTCCAGAACCTCTTCTACCCAACAGGACAACCCTCAGACTTCTTTTTCTGCATGTACTTCTCAACAGGAAAACTCCAGAACTGCCTGTGCCCCAAGGGACAACCCCAGAGGCTCCTCTCCCAACCGGACCACCCAGCGGGAAAACTCCAGAACTTCCTGTGCCCCAAGGGACAACCCCAGAGGCTCCTCTCCCAACCGGACCACCCAGCGGGAAAACTCCAGAACTTCCTGTGCCCCAAGGGACAACCCCAGAGGCTCCTCTCCCAACCGGACCACCCAGCGGGAAAACTCCAGAACTTCCTGTGCCCAAAAGGACAACCCCAGAGGCTCCTCTCCCAACCGGACCACCCAGCGGGAAAACTCTAGAACATCCTGTGCCCCAAGGGACAATCCCAGAGGCTCCTCTCCCAACCGGACCACCCAGCGGGAAAACTCCAGAACTTCCTGTGCCCAAAAGGACAACCCCAGAGGCTCCTCTCCCAACCGGACCACCCAGCGGGAAAACTCCAGAACTTCCTGTGCCCAGAGGGACAACCCCAGAGGCCCCTCTCCCAACCAGACCACCCAGCGGGAAAACTCCAGAACTTCCTGTGCCCAAAAGGACAACCCCAGAGGCCCCTCTCCCAACCGGACCACCCAGCGGGAAAACTCCAGAACTTCCTGTGCCCAGAGGGACAACCCCAGAACCTCTTCTACCCAACGGAACAACCCGCAGTCCTCTTCCTTCCGGCGGGACCACCCCGGAAGCTCCTCCCCTCAGTGCTGCACCCCAAAGAACAATCCTGGGCCATCATCTCCCCATCGCTCCACCCAGCGGAATAACCCCAGGAATCCTTCTCCCCATCGTACTAACAAAGACATCCCCTGGGCCTCCTTTCCCCTCCGGCCCACCCAGAGCGATGGTCCCCGGACCTCCTCCCCATCCCGCTCCAAGCAAAGCGAGGTTCCCTGGGCCTCTATCGCCCTTCGGCCAACCCAAGCTGACAGGCCTCAGACCTCATCTCCCACCAAACCAGCTCAGCGTGACTCCCCCCAGTCCTCCTCGGGCCCTCCCCAGCACAACTCACCAGCCCGGGCCTCTTCTTCCTCGCACAACCCCGGCCCCCACAGCGCCCCCCGGACTTCCACGCCTCTGTACCTCACCCGAGGGGCATCCCAGACCTCTTTCGAGTCCTCCCAGCCTCCCTGGGCCGTGTGCATTGGACACCGGGATGCCCCCCGAGCCTCTTCGCCTCCTCGCTATTTGCAATATGACCCGTTTCCCTTCTTCCCAGACCCCCACGCCTCTGAGAGTGAATCCACTCACCATGAGCCACCCTATATCCCCCCGGCCGTGTGCATCGGACACCGCGATGCTCCCCGGGCCTCCTCACCCCCTCGCCACACCCAGTTCGACCCCTTCCCCTTCCTCCCGGACACATCAGATGCTGAGAACCAGTCGCCCCAGCATGACCCTCCCCAGTTCCCCCCGCCTGTGTGTATCGGATACCGCGATGCACCCCGGGCCTCCTCCCCTCCGCGCCAGGCCCCTGAGCCCTCCCTCCTGTTCCAGGATTTCCCCAGGGCCAGCACCGAGAGCCTTGTCCCCTCCACAGACTCCCTGCACGAGCCCCCCCACATCCCCACCCCTGTGTGCATTGGACACCGAGATGCACCCTACTTCACGTCCCCCCCACGCCAGGCCCCCGAGCCCTCCCTCTTCTTTCAGGACCCCCCTGGGACTAGTATGGAGAGCCTGGCCCCCTCCACGGACTCTCTGCATGGCTCCCCAATGCTGCCCCCCCAAGTGTGCATCGGGCACCGGGATGCACCTCGAGCCTCCTCCCCACCCCGCCACCCACCCAGTGACCTAGCCCTCCTGGCACCCTCACCTCCTCCAGGCAGCTCAGGGGGCTCCCGGGGCTCAGCACCCCCTGGGGAGACCAGGCACAACTTGGAGAGGGAGGAGTACACCGTGCTGGCCGACCTGCCCCCACCCAGGAGGCTGGCACAGAGGGAGCCAGGGCCCCAGGGCAGCAACGGGGGCCGAACCCGCAGCCCTGGCCGCGCAGAGGTGGAGCGCCTCTTCGGGCAAGAGCGCAGGTGAGCCCAGGGTGGGGTCAGCCAGGTGGGCTGGGGAGGAGCCTCGGCAGCAGGACAGGTGGAAGGTTCAAGGCTTAGGTGGCCAGATGGAAAGGGTTGTCTCCTGCCCTGCCACTTACTGGCCGTGTGACCTTGGGCCAGTCACTTCATCTCTTTCCCTAAGTTAAGAGGGTTTTTTTGATGATGAAGTGATATTGTGCATAGCCTGGTGGTTAAGAGCAAAGACCAGGGTCAGGCAGGCTGGGTTCAATCCCGGGTCAAAGCCACTCCCCATCTTTGTGACCTGGTAAAGCTACTGCCTGAGCCTCAATGTCCTCATCTGGAAAATTCGAACGGTATCCATTCATTGAAATGAGGCTAAGCTCTCCAACCCTTAATGTGATCCATAGTCACAGGTTTGTTTATTTTTCCCCCTCCTTATGTGAGGGAAGAAAGTGCCCATGATTTTTTTCTGCCTTAACAAAGAAGACTCATGGCTACCCATGCCTCTTGGAAAAGAGATGTCAGTTTAAACTATATAGCCAGAGCCGTTATTGTAATGAAGAGAACTCAGAATCACAGACCTTTTAGAAGTTAAAGGTTACTTTCCTGGGACGTGGTGACAAGCCCTAAGTCCAGGCACCCTGGAGTGCTGGTCCTGGGGCCACTCACACAGCCCCGGGAGGGGAAGCATTACCCCTGCTTGGCCGAGATTTCTCTCTCCAGCAGTCCCAGCCTCAGGAGTTTTCAGGACCAGGGTTGGAATTCCATTAGTCAGGGTTGAAAGAACAGCAAACAAGTAGGTCTGGAAGTCTCAACGCTCTCAGTGTATAATGAATTATAGCGTATTTACCAAGACCATCACCACAACCCAAATTTAGAACATTTCCGTCACCCTAAAGAGTGGGTAATGTTTTACATCCAGAATTCCTCTCTCTGTCGTCCGTGAGGCAACATTTTATCTTAGGTTAGAATCTGTGCGAGAAATCTTATCTTTCATTCTTCAAATTTCCGTTTCTTTCTTGTTTTTGTTTTTGTTTTGTTAATCCTCACGTGAGGATATTTTCTCCCATTGATTTTTAGAGATAGTGGAAGGGAGGGGGAGAGACAGAAAGAGAAAAAAACAGCTGTGAGAGAGACCATTGATTGATTGGTTGCCTCCTGGGGATTGAGCCTGCGACCCTTCAGTCCTAAGGCTCAGATTTCCTTTTTACAGTAACTTCAATCCATTTACTATCCAGATGACAACCTTTAAGGTCTCCAGCATTAATATAATTATTTCTTTGGCCTTTTAAAAATTAAACAGGCACTAATTTTTAAAGCAGTTTTAGGTTCACAGCAAAGCTGAGTGGAAAGTACAGAGAATTCCCATACATCCCATTTCCCCCACACGCCTGGACTCAGCTCACTATCAACAACCTGACCAGAGGGTACATTTGCTACAAACCATGAACCGATACGGACACGTCATTAGCATCCAAAGTCCATAGTTCACTCCTGGTGCTGTACATGCCAGGGGTTTGGACAAATATACGACACGGATCCACTATTATGGTATCATATGGAATAGTTTCACTGCCCTAAAACCCCCTTTGTCTTTGCCTTTTTATGACTACTATTTTTAGTCAGACGTCAGTTTGTGTACTTTAACTTTTATCTGATAACTCAGTAGGAACACTAAGGTCTTTAAACCTAAGTTAAATTTTCTTTCTTTTTTTCCTACTGGGGTAACTTTTAGAGAGATAAAGGTTTATAATAAAAGTCCAGAATATGTTTATACTTTTATTAATCATTTAATTGTTTTTACACATATACTTTTATTAATTTTATTTTATTCTTTGAAATAGATTATTTACCTTTTTTAGCTTTATTGAACTATAATTGATATATAAAAATTGCATATGCTTAAGTATATATTTTGGAGAAATAGATGACGTACCTTTTAACCAAGGTTTTATAACTCTACTGAGTAATTAAATTTTCTCCTGTTGTATGGCATTTTTTTCCAAGTAGAAAACCATTCTTAATCTGAAAATGAAGTTTTAAAACCTATTTGAGTATCTGGAAGACTGAAATTTATGAGTGGGTGACTATAGACAGTACGTTTATTATTTTCTCCTATTTCATTTAACATGTATTTATTGAGCATCTACTCTGTCCAAGCATTGTACTAACTAAGCCTGGAAATTTTTCCTTAACGGCTCTCACATTAAAGCATTAGGAATTTTGGCTTGATATCTTCATTTTCTTCTCCCCTGGATGCCTTTGGAATCTCTTATCTTACAATCACATAAGCACTTCCTAGTCTCTTAAATTCAAAACAGCCTTCATGGAATTTGCTAGACTTGACAGCTTTGTCCTTTAAACTTTGTGGAGGTGGAAGAGCCCATTCCAGCTTCCAAAGGAAATGCATTTCCTTTCTCAGCCCTGTGCAGCCACATCAGCCTCAGGAGCAGGTGGCCCGAGCGCCCTGTTGCTGCCCTGAGTCTTCACTCCTCTCTCTCAATTCCACATGGAGGGGGCTTCTCGGGAGGAACTGGCAGGCAGGAGTTTATACGGAAAACGCACTCACTTGGAGAGAACACACACGGTGCCTCGCTGCCCTGCACGGAGTATTCTCCGTCGCTGTCACCGTGTCCTCCCCACTGGGTCACGTTTGGGGCTTTTGCTTCACAGAGGCTCCTGCACCCTGGTTCTGGAGGAAAAGCCCTCCAAGGCCTCAGCTCTCACAGAGCACGGAACCTCTCTCGCTTCAAATTAGGTTAAAAATGGAACCTGATCAGGTAGCCCGCAAATTTAGGAACACTTAGTCCAGTGGGAAGCTTGGGTTCCCTGTGAGTCAACTGCTAAAAGCTCCAGTTACTTTATGGATTTGATTTTAGTGACACTGGCAAAAGCCATAAGACAACAACAGACCCCAAGCCCATGGTTTGTTTTCTCTCCGAAGCCTCTGGCGGGTTCCAGCATGGCTCCCACGCTGGGGGCAGACTCCAAGCACAGTCCCTTCCCACACCAAGCGGTTCCTCTTGCTTTCCTCTTTGCGGGCTCTGTCCAGGCTCAGCACCAGGCCGTCTGTTCCAGGCCACTCCCAGGTCAGCTCGGCCACCGGAGATAGAGCTCCACTTGTCCATGTAGACCAGCGGTTCTCAACCTGTGGGTCGCGACCCCTTTGGGGGTCGAACGACCCTTTCACAGGGGTCGCCTAAGACCATCAGAAAACACCTATATAATTACATCTTGTTTTTGTGATGAATCACTATGCTTTAATTATGTTCAATTTGTAACAATGAAATTGGGGGTCACCACAACATGAGGAACTGTATTAAAGGGTCGCGGCATAGGAGGGTTGAGAACCACTGATGTAGATGGAGCCAGACTCAAACCCTGTTGGACTAGATACCCAGTGGAGCAGCCTGGTCTTTTGTTTTGACCCCTTACATGTGGGAGGGGAGAGACGGGCCCAGAATCTGTTTGGTATGCTTACGTGCAACAGAGATGTCATGTTAAATATTAATAGGCATGGCTACCAATGACTAAGACAGCTAAGTGGAACGAGGGACTTTTACCAGCTTAGAGCTTATCGGTGACAGACGTGGCAACAATGCCTGAAGGCTAGGTGTCTTGGAAACGACCTTTTATGCTGGCCGTCCTGGAGTTGTGTAGGAAGAGGGAGCATTTCTTGTTTCTGGTCTTGCTAAGAGCTCTGTTACCAACAGCTGGGATGGCCTGGCGTTTTCAAGGCCAAGTGCAGGAATCTTGTTAGTACTGAGGAGGAAAAGGGTGGGCCTGGGAAGCCAAAAACTCACCATGTAGACTGACAGATGGCAGAAAGAATGGAATATGAGGGCGTGAGCATTCTGCAGCTCCGGTCCCCACCTCACAGGGGTTGCGTGAGATGCGATGAGATGAGATGATACAAGTGCTTGGCACCTGGAACACAAGAAGTGCTCAATAAATGTCTGCCGCTACCATCATGTGTACACAGTGCCTGGTGACCAGTAGGTGCTCAATAAACCTTACTTCCCACAAAGACCAGTCTAACCTTTGTTTGGGGTTGAGAGATGGGCTATTGGCCGGGTGGCAGTCAGAAACAGGAGGTACAATGGGGCCTTGATTATGAGTTTAATTCGTTCCGAGACCGAGCTCGCTAACTCAAATTACTCTATCAACTCAATGCAAAAAATCGGACGAGAGACAGCTGGTATCTCAAAAAACTCGTTAGTCGGGACACTCGTAAGTCAAGGCCCCACTGTACTGAGAGACAGGAGGCAGGCAAGGCCAAGGCTGAGCCTGCACCTTTGCTCATCCCTTTTCCCATTTCATCTCCACCACAGCCCCATGAGGCAGGTAGAGCAGTGTCACCCATTTTTCAGAAGGGGATACTGAGGCCCTGAGAGGCTCATCCCTCCCTTAGGGCTCTTCAGCTGTGGGTCTCCTCTATCTCCTCCCATTGGGGGTGGGAGTAGAGGCGGTGGGTGCTGGGAGTGGGACAGCCCCAAGGGCCCTCAGAGGGGCGGCTGCGTTTGCTCATAGGAAGTCCGAGGCACCAGGGACCTTCCAGGCCCGGGACGAGGGGCGGTCGCAGCGGCCCAGCCAAGGTCAGAGCCAGCTTCTCCGGAGACAGTCCAGCCCTGCCCTCAGCAGGGAGGTGAGCACTGCCAGCCTGCCCTGGGCCCCTGCACCCCAAGGGGCAAGCCACTGCTTTTCCCTTCCCCCAGGTGCCAGGCGGGGTCCTGGGAAGGGAGGTCCTTTATGAAAGTGTCAGAATCCCAATCACGGGTGTCCAGCTTCCCCCTCTCCCAGAGCCAGCAGTCCTTTGAAGGCGGCCCTTCCTTGTTGTTTCCTTCCTTCATTAAGTAGCTGCTAGCTTGAGTTTTCAGGGAAAGCCTTGGACTCAATAGTCCGCCTCTAAGGGCCATCCCTTCCAGGCCGGGGATTTATATTTTTATATATTAAAATATATATATATATATATATATATATATATATATATATTTTTTTTTTTAATTAATTTCAGAGAGGAAGGGAGAGGGAGAGAGAGAGAGAAACATCAATGATGAGAGAGAATCATTGATTGGCTGCCTCCTGCACGCCCCCCACTGGGGATCAAGCCCACAACCAGGGAACTGGACCGTGACCTCCTGGTTCATAGGTCGATGCTCAACCACTGAACCACGCTGGCCGAGCGGGATTTATATTTTTAAAGAAACTCTTAGAGGGCAAGGCCTGCGCTAGTGGAAGGGAGTGTTGGTGTGGAAATTCGTGCACCTGATAGCCCAGGTTGGAATCAATATCGTGGGGGAGGGGGAAGCGGGGACAGTGAGCAGCTCTTTGCAGATCTCTTTCTGGAACTGCGGAAAGTGGGTGAGAGGGAAGAGCAGACACCCCCCGCCCCCCTGCCCCCGGGAGGGAGCGCAGAGACTGTAGGTGCTTTTTGACCTGCTTTAATCCCAGCTGCTGTGAGGACACAGCCCGCCTCTCCCTGTGGCCTGGCCAAGAGCCCAGTGTCCTGAGCTCCTCGACAGAGGCCACCTGGTCAGGGTCCTGGAGCCTCACCCACCCCTCACCTCATCCTCAGGTAACCACGCCCCTTGCGAAGCAGGCAGAACCCGCCCGGAGGAGCCGTGCAGAGGCCCCTCCTCCCAGGAGACCTGGGGGGGACCTGCGGCTCCAGGGGTCCTCGCCGCCCCCAAGGACATCAGCCAGGACTTCTGAGAGGGAACGGCGAACAGAGAAACCTCCGGAGAGAGGCCGGGCGGGCCCAAGACAGCCTCCGGGTGGGTGGCAGAGCCAGGAGGAGCTGCCTGGGGCCCCGGGTCCGCACAGACACTTGGAGAGAGGCTGGAGCAGCCAGGAGGAGGGCCCAGGCCTGGGGGGCTGGCAAGGACTTGGGGAGCCCAGTGGGGGCGCTACCAGAGCCCTGGAGGGAACATGGAGGGGCCCTCTCAGGGAGTCTGAGGAGAGCTGGGGGCAGTCAGAGGCCTGGGAGAAGCTCCCCAGTAATGGGGTGCAGAAGCCTCCTGACAGGCCAGCTCAAAGGGGCCGGGGCGCCCTGCAGGAGCTGTTCGGTCCTCCCCAGCCTATGAGCCTTCCGGAGAACACCCGGGAAGGCCCAGCAGAGTTCTCGAATTCCTGGAGGCCTGAGACAGACACTGATATGGGCCGGGGAACTGAGGGAGCTTGCCCACACCTGCATGGCCCTGAGAGGCGCCTCGAGCTTGACTGGAGGGACCTGCTGAGCCTTCTTGGGATGCCCAGAGAGGGGGCCTGGGCCCGCCCAGAGGAGCCAACGCTTGCTTCCCGTCTTCCAAGCCTGGACTGGGAAGGCCTCCTGGAGCTCCTGCAGACCCAGCTGCCCCGAAAGGACCCAGCTGGACACTGGGGTGGCCCAGTCACAGCTCCAGGGCCAGAGCTGGGTTCCCCGGGCACAAAGGATGCCCTTGAACGAGAGCGACAAAGCCAGCCTGCCGGCTGGGCAGAGGCCACCCTAGTCAATGGACACAGCCCCGAGCAGGGGCCCCAGAGCTTGGCCCAGCTGCCCAGCCCTGCCTGCACCTCCACCCAGTGGCCAAAGACCAAAGTGACGAGTGGACCAGAGACCTCAGCTACGGCTGGTCTGGAGATGAGCCAGCTGGCGAGTAGGCGCCCTGCAGAAGGCCCCAGCTCAACAGACTGGGAGGTAAGTCCGTCTCAAAGCTCGGCCCCAATCCTCCCTCCTGACAGAACCTTTCCCGGTCACCAAAATGGCCATCGGTGGTAATGGCCAACCCTCCAGTGAGCATTTACTATGTGCTCCACCCTGGTGTGAATGACGTATGGGTATTTTCCTCATTTAATTCCCATGGCAACCTCATGAGAAAGCCACTGATAATTTACAAATAAGGAAACTGAGATAGAGAGGTCAAGCCACTTCCCCCAAATCACACAGCTAGTAAGGGCTGGGGCAGGGGTGAACCCCGGGTCTGCTCAGTGCAGATCACCTGAGGCCTCAGGCAAGATGCTCTGTCCAGGGCCTCCTCCCCTCCCGGCCCCACAACACCTGGTTTGTGTTGCCCCGGTGGCTCTTAGCTGACTTTGGCTGGCATTGTAGCCAGTGTGGTCATGGCCCCGCCCCTTGCTGTATTCCAGGTTCCCCTCAGTCCAGAACAACCTCACGTACCTCGCTCTGGTCCTTACAGCTCCTTTCGGGCACAGTGAAGAGGTTGCATCTGCTCACTGCGTGAGTCGGCTGCTGAGACAGGTTGCTTAAATGAGGACCCCTGTGCAAAGTAGGCTCCATGCCTGGCACACAGTAGGTGCTCACCAAGTCCCTTCCCTGCCTTCTCGGCCCAGGGCAGATTCAAAGAGTCAGTGGTTCTCTGTGCTGCCTGGAGCCTTTATCTGGAGGTGATGGGCTGGGAGGGTCCTGGAGGCCAGAGCCCTGCAGCCTGCCTCCGCTCCCCGGAACACAGCACGTGGTTTGGGACCCCTAGCCCATCTTGGCCCCAGTCTTCCCTATAAAATAGGACCAACTCCTTCCCTGACAGGTACCACTGGGATGATGCGAGGCTCCTGTTTGTTCATCTGACCCTCAGTGTGCAAGGATGATGGCAGGGTTTGTGGTGTGCCGGGCCCTGGCCTGGGCGCTTTACACGCTCTGCCATGTACAAGGTTCAGACCCATTAGGCATTTGCCAGGGGTCACACCTGCATAAGTCCAAGCTTTTAACCACCATGTTGTGAGGCCTCAGAGTCCACGGCAGGACTAGGGAGTCCCTCCCCCGTGTTTCTGGCTTTTATCCATTTGTCCTCTAATGAATTCAATGCATAGTCAGCAGAGAGGCAGGCATAAGCCAATGTGGTTCTGTCAGGCTTCCTGGGGAGGCAGGTGGACTACCTGTACCTCAGGGAGGGCGCCATGCTGTGTCCCAGTGAATGCTGGGATGCCAGATCAAAGGGAAGAGGGAGAGCAGGGAGATTCTTCAGCTACAATTACTGCACAGTGAGGCTCAGGGGTCCCGGGGAGGTTAGGAGATGGTGACTGGGGAGGGGCAGGAACACCACGTGCTTAAGGGCATTTCTACACACACACACACACACACACACACACACACACACACACACGGGCATTTCCACAGATGACAATAGGCATTCACTAGGTCCTACTGGGGCTCCAGCTGCTCACCTCTGTGAAAATCCTTGGCACAGCATTCAAGGCCTCCTGGCCTCCTTTCACCCAGATTTGCCCTCTGGCTGTGCTGAGCTGGCTGCAGAGCCCTGTGAGCACATCTCCCAGCCTTTGTGCATGCTGTTCCCATTGCCCAGGATGCTCTTTCTCTCCCTCTTCACTAAACGCCATTCACTGTGCAAGTCAGATCAGGTGCCCTGTTCTGAGACGCTTTCCCCAGGTTGGTGATGTCTTCCTTCTGATAGTTCTACCTTCATCTGGTCATACTCAGTTGTCATTTCCCCATAAGAAGCATGAGCTCTATGGGGCAGGAGGTGTGCCTTCTTTCTCTCTGTATCCCTGGCCCCTGGCCCAGGGCCTGACACAGTGGAAGAGGTCAGCTCAGTGGATGGTTGACCGGTGAATACATGGATGCTTATGTGCAATGCAAGCCCTGGCTGGTGTTGCTAAGTGGTTAGAGCATTTGCCCATATACCGAAAGGTTGCGGGTTTGATTCCTGGTCAAGGGCATGTACCTGGTTGCAGGTTTGATCCCGGGCCCTGGCAGGGGCACGTGTGGGAGCCAACCAATTGATGTGTCTCTCCCATATTGATGTTTTGCTCTCTCCCTCCCTCTCTCTCTTCCACTCTCTCTAAAAATCAATGGAAAAAATATCCTTGGATGAAATTAACAAAAAAAAAGAAAAAAGAAAAAAAAGATGGAATATGGGAGGGGAGTGGGTAGATGATAAATGATTGAAAATGGATATGTGAATGGACGATGGATAGGGCATATAGCTGGACAAGTAATAAATAGATGCTGGATGGATGATAGATGGGTAGATAAATATATAGATAGATGGGTGATGAATGGAATAGATAATAGATGTTGGATGGATGGATGTTGCTTAGATGATGGATGGGGAGATGAATGGATGGGTGAATGTTGGGTAGAATATGGATGGATAGATGGATGGATAGATAGATGGATGTTGCATGGAAGGGTAAATGTGGAATATGGATGATGGATAGTAAACGAATGTTAGAAGGGTAGGTAGATGGACTGAGGAAGGATACATGGATGTAAGAAGGATGGATAGATGCTGAATAGAGGATGGATGTATAAATGGGAAAATGGATGTTGGATAGTGAGTAGGTGAGTAATGTAGGATGTATGTTGGATGGGTACATGGATCTATGGATGTTGGATCTAGATGGATGTTGGATGATGAATGGATAGATAAGAAGGTGGATAGACAAGTGGAAACTGGGGAATAACTTGGACTAAAGCTGTGTTCTTTCTTATCTTCAGTTCCAATCAAAGGAGCCTAAGGAGTCAGAACCGAGAGGAGACTCACTGACTGGCCAGAAGCAGGCAGACTCGGTAGTTGGGTCTTGGGTGTGGACACATGGGGAGGGGAGTGGAAGGGATGGGAAATCAGATTGGAGATGGGCTGAGGTCCTCAGCTGACCTCTGGGTTCATCCAGACCCAGCTGGGCTCTGTAATGGGGCCATCCGTGTGCATGCGGGGCCGTGGGAAGGGCTCTGGTGGAGCTGGGTGGCAGAGCCACCTTCTGGCTTGGGGATTTGGGTGAGGACTTGAGCCCAGGGCTCTGCTCTTAACTTGCTAGCATGCCCTGGAAAGGTAACTAAAACGCCTCCCCTGGGTAAATAGCAGTTTGGCTCCAATGGTCTCTGAAGGCAAGGTCCTTCTGGCTCTGGAGGGCTGCCAGGCTGGGAGGAAGGGTAGAGCTCCCAGGAGCTGGAGCAAGAGAAGCGTTGAAGGGGCTGAGGAAACGCCACACTCCGCCAGGTCTGGAGCATCTCCAGGATCCTGGGGCAGGACAGATGTGTGCAGGGGTGGGGCCCACTGGGGCTGCTCTGAGGCCTGGCTGCAGCTGTAGTGCATTGCTTTGTCCCGCCCCTCCCCCTGACCTGCCACACAGACTGTTCTCCTCACCCTCAGCCTCCAGAGAGGTGAGGTCAGAGCTCAGGGCCTGGGGCAGCGGGAGGGAGGCGGGGAGGAGACAGGCTGTTTGGGGTTGTGCTTTCCTTACCCTGCTGTTCTGCTGTCCCACATGCCGCCTGACTGGGGTGTCTGTCTGGCAGCCTGGAGCCCCGACTCTGGCCCTGCTGCTTGTCAGAGCTGGGGGGATTCTGCCCAACCCCTCCCTGTGCAGATGAGAAAACACAGGGCAGGGGTGTTGTCACAGGTCATACAGTTGGTGGCTGAACTCAGACTAGAACTAGGGCTCGGAACCCCCACCCAGGGCTCGGTCTGCTCCCCCCAAGCCGCTTCCTGGCCCTGCCCCGATTCCCTGCTTGGCCTTGCACAGCAGCAGCAATGTCCCATGTGCTTGGTGGGCCAGTCTTCCTGACAGGTGGCTGTAGGAGTCTGTGAAGTGGGAGGGGACAGGGGACTGGTCACTAACGGCACTTCCAGCTCTCAGAGGGGCTCCGGCAACTTTGCGCTTCCTCTTTTTGGGTTATTTCTTCATACTTCCTGGGGCCAGGGTTTCATGAACAAAGAGGAAATAGTAATACAGGGGTCCCTCCAGTCTCCACAAAATGGGCCCATCCCAGCAACACGGAAAGCCTCTCAATCACCCCCAGGCAGCCAGGACTACACAGAATTGATAGCAGCCTCATTCATTCATTCATTCACTCATTCATTCACATTCACTTAGTGAGCACCTTCTGCGTGCTGGGTGTGGGCGGAGTGACTAGAGCACCAGCATGGCGCACGGTCTAGCGGCCAGCACTGTGATGGGACGTGGTGGCGGTGGGGCAGTCCTTCCCCAAAGCCCTCCTGCACCTGTGCTTTGAGGCTTCATGCTCTGCCTCCAGTGAATCTCCGGACCCGGAGGGTTGGGACATCTGGGCTCTGTCTTCCTTCCACCTGCTCTGGGACTTGGGGCAAATGCTTTTGCTTCGCTGGGCCTGTTCCTCCAAAGGGGGCTCACCTGGGGGTCCTACGAGGATGGGAGGACAGGTGGCTGTAGGAGCCTGTGATCCATTCCTTTCACAAAGGTGAGGAGCGTAGGCAGATGGGGGACTTGAGGCTAGAGGGGCCTTGTGTGACCCCTTGGCCCCAGGTGGCTGTGCCATGGGGAAGAGGGTCCAGTGTTCCCACATCTTTAGATAGTTCAAGAGAAGTTAGAAATATGTCGTTATATGTTAACTCTCTTGATTATTTAACACTGGATCCTGCCAGCCACATGGGGTTCGACGTTAGGAGCCCAGTCAGGCAAACACCATGTAGCATGAAAGGTGTACCGAGCTCCGTTCTCCCAGCTCTGGGAGAGGAGAACAAGGGGAACCCTGGGCCTCTAGGCGGGCACGGCAGGATGGGCAGGGGAGGCTGTAGTCAGGGACTTTCCCATCTCCCTAAAGGGACCTGGGGCCAACACTGGACCCTGTTTGACAGGCAGACAAGAGGCCAGCGGAGGGCAAGGCTGGGAGCCCACTCAAGGGCCGACTGGTGACCTCATGGCGGATGCCCGGGGACCGGCCCACGCTGTTCAATCCGTTCCTGCTATCCCTGGGGGTCCTCAGGTGGCAAAGGGTAGGCTGGCTCCAGTGGGGTGGGAGGGGTGAGGGCGGGGAGCGGGGGAGGAGAGGGAGGAGGTTGGTGTTAGTCAAAGAGGAGAGAGTGGAGGCCGAGAGGGCAGGATTTGGGGGCCCACATGAGAAAGGAGGGAAAAGCAGAGTCCTGAGCCCGGATGGCCTCTGCGAGTGAGTGGGTTGCCCACTCCAGGGTGAGGGGTGACTGAATGAGCTTCAGAGCTGAAAGCTCCCAGTCTGCAACCGGCCAGGGAGAGCCAGGTTGGGGGGAGGGAGAGGGGGAGGAGGGCCCTGTGAGGGGCTCTGGGATTGCAAAGTGTGTCTCAGTCCTGGGCCGGAGCCAGTTTCACAAACATCTGGCATTACGTAACCCATCCCCTGCCCAGAGAGGGTTGTAAACACTCAGGCCTCTGGTTCGGGGTTTCCTCAAGGGCAGGGAGGGGAGGCAACTGTGACCTGCTCCCTCCTGCCCCTTCACAGCCAGAGAGAAGGGGGCTGGCTCACGCGGCCTCTTCTCTCAGTGACAGGCGGACTGTCACCCTCTTGCTGGCTCTGGGCCCATCACTGGGCTGGGTGTGTTAAAGACATACACCCATTTTACAAACCAAGAAACTAAGTCTCAGGGAGGTGAGTTGACTTGCCTGAGGTCAAAAAGCTGGGGTTTAGAGGAGCCAGCTTCTTGGTGATTTTCCTCATTCCTAGATGAGAGAATGGCTGCAGCTGAACTCACTGAGCCTCGGTTGCCATATCGGTCTAAGGGGGGCAGGGAATCTATGGAGACACTCAGGGCTGCAGGGAGGGCCCCGGGAGATCAGGATGCACAGAGGTGTGTGTGTGGGGAGGGGGGGGGGCAGGTGTGGCTAAATACCAACTTCCCCATCCACTTCATAATTTCCTCTCTGTTGCCTTTTGGGATTTAGTAAGAGGGTATTGAGAAGAACATGGTTACCTGGGCAGGGTGGTTCTTTCAAGCCATGGACAGGAATTACCTTATCAACAGGAAGCGGGTCTGGCAGGAAGGGGCAGGTGAAGTCCCGAGTGGAGAGAAATGGGGAAAGGACTCTGGGATAATGCTGCTGCTGCTGATAACTAGCATTTATTGTGCACCTACTATGTGCTCGGCTGTGCTCAATGCACGGCATGCTTTACCACCAGGCATACCAGGTGCGGTTTATATTGTCCATGTTACAGACAAGAAAATGAGGCTCAGAGAGGACAAAAAATCACTGCTGTAGATCCCACTTGGGGCAGAGTGGAGATTTAAACCCTACTCTGGTTGACCTCATACCCCCCCACCCCTGCATCTGGATCTCCCTGCCTTCCTGCAGGCTCAAGAGTCCCCATTAGACAGGTGTGGCAGCTGAGGCTTGGTGAGTCTGCAGCGGTTCTGGCTTCTGGGAATGAGGAGAATCAGGAGCTGAGAGACAGAACTGCCAGTGGAGCCTCCCAGACAGGTACTTAGAGTAGTTGCAAACGTCTCTTGAGCGAGATAGTGAAATTAGTCCAAGGTTAAGAGCTAGGAAGCCTGGGCTTGAATTCTGTTTCTGCACTAACTTGTGTGGCTTTGGGCCATTGTCTCCCTTTTCTGAGCCTCACATTGCTATCCTTGACAGAGTAACAGTTTAAGACTGAATCACCCCAAAGTTGGGTGGCCCTGTTTAATTATTCTCTCCTGGGTCTCTGAGCCTGTGCCATCTCTCTCCTGCCAGGACAGGTTGTGGTAAGGTAGTCATTTCTTCATTTGTGCATTTATTCATTTAACCAATGTTTGCTAAGGACCTATTGTGGGCTGAAGCTCTGAGACAGAGAAAAGAAACACTTCATCCCTGCCCACAAGGAGCTCATGGTTTGGTGAGAACACTGCCATGTATGTGGTTAGAACACTGCCATGTATGTGGTTAGAACACTGTGGTTATCACATTAGTGGGGGAGTGTACAGATGTAGGGAGCACTGGGTGGGAAGGTGATGCAGGGAGCATCAGACAAGGAGATTGTAACTGTGCTGGGGGCACTTGGGTTTCCTCTGGACCAAGACTTGAAGAGTGAGGAGGAATTTTCCAGGCACACAAACATTTGGAGGGAGAGGCAGGAGAGAGGGGGAGTGGATGAGTGTGTGTGTGTGTGTGTGTGTGTGTGTGTGTGTGTGTTCAGGGGGGAGTGGGGGTACAGAGAATAGGAAAGGAAGTGTTTCAGACATGGCAGAGAACAACATATGCAGTCCCACCAAGGTGCAGCGGACCTGCTCATTCTGGGAATTCTCAGAAGTCCAGCATTGTGGACCCTCGCATGTACAATGCGTGTGTACGATGACGGAGGACAGCAGGCAGGGGCAGATTATGATGGATGCAGACTGCTTGGAACAAGAATGTAGCACGGGGGAAGTGATGAAGAACCTTGAGCAGGGGATTGATCTGATCACTGGGTTGAGGGAACTAGAAGTGGAGTCCCAGAGGCCAGGAAACCTGTAAGGGGGCTGTGAGGTGCCCAGGCCACAGGGCAAGGCACTGGTGGGAGGTGAGGTCTTCTGTTTCTCCACTCACTCTCCCAAGGATAAAGTGCCTGAGTTAAGTACAGGGTTAGGGTAGGAGAACTCAGCATAGGGATGCCAAAAGGCCAGTGTCTAGAGCAGTGGTTCTCAACCTGTGGGTTGCAACCCCTTTGGCGGTTGAACGACCCTTTCACAGGGGTCGCCTAAGACCATCCTGCATATCAGATATTTACATTACGGTTCATAACAGTAGCAACATTACAGTTATGAAGTAGCAACGAAAATAATTTTATGGTTGGGTCACAACATGAGGAACTGTATTTAAAGGGACAGAAGGTTGAGAACCTCTAGTCTAGAGGAAGATGGGCTTATCCGTGGCCTCATTTCTAGTGTGGAGGAGAGAATCCCAGTGGGAAATACTGAGAAAGAGCTTCAGCTCCCTGAGCCTCCATTTCTTTATCTGTGAAATGGGGACGGTAATTATGATAATAATTCTTGATCCCCGAACTAAGATGGCAGAATAATTGAAATGGCAATTATAGATAGCTAACTAGGGATAAATGGGGTGTTCTGGGTACTTAACAGTTAATCCTTATAGCATCCCCATGAGAACACAGCATTATCCCATTTAACAGAGGGTGAAGTTGAGGCACAGAGAGGTTAAGTACCTTGCTTAGGTAACACAGTGTTTGAATCACAATGCCACACAAGCTACTACATGCATTTAGCAACAAATTCCACCAAAGGTCCCTCCTCTACTTCAGGGCTCAGATGAACTCCTGCCTGCAAAAGGGCTCCTAAAAACAGCCAAGTGCTCTGGGAACGTGAGCCACGGGTGTACACCCACACCCACGAACCCCAAACCAGGTTCTTAAGTCAGAAAGACCCATTTACAGGAGGGGGCATTTAGGGGGCACACGCTAGGAGTGCACCTCTTCTTGAGCAAGTCCGCTCACCTCTCTGCGCCTCTATTTTCTCATTAGTAAAATGGGGACAAGGGCACCGTCTGTCAAGCCTGTAGTGAGGATTAAAGTGGATTTCATTGGTGACAAGCGGGGCTCCGGGGTGGGACGCTGAGTTGTTAGTGTTGGGGGCTTGGCCCACGAGCCCAGCAAAGCCGGGGGCCGGCGGGGAGCGGCTGGGGCGGGGAGCGGTAGCCGAGGCGACGTGGGCCACGCCCCGCACTGCCGGGCGCTAGCCCGCGAAGTCACCTGCTGGCTGGACGGCTCCTTCCGCCCCGCGCGCCCGCGGCCGAGCGCGGCCCGCCCTCCCTTCTCCCCGCCCCCATCCGTCCCGGCCGCCCCGCCCCCAGCGCCCGTCCCGTCGCGCAGGCCCCGCCCCCAGGCCCGTCCCACGCTCCCATTGGTTGGCCTGCGGCCCAGCCGCTGTTTGTCCCGGCTTCCCCGCCGCCCATTGGCGCGCCCGGGTCCTCCCAGGAAGTTTGAAAAAAAAAAAAAAGTTTTATGGGCGGATGGACGGGGCCGGAGCCGCGCGGGCGAAGGGAAGGGCCGGAGGAGCGGCTCCGGGCGGCCGAGAGGGGCGGCGGCAGCGGGATTCCCGCGCCGCGGAGCCCGGCCTGCGCGCCCCGTACACCTTCCTGCCTCCTGCCCCCGCCGCCCCCGGCCGCCGCCATGACGGTGAGTGCCCCCCAGCGCCCCTCCGCGCCCGGGCGGCTGAGCGACCGTCCGAGCCAGCCGCTCCTCCCGGGCAGCCTCGTCCTCCCTCCCGGTGTCCGGAGGAGTCTCCGCCGGAGGCCGGGCGACCTGCCTCACCTTTCCAGGCGGGGAGCCCGGGCGAACCCGAGGATCTGGGAACGTCCCAGCACGGGCACCCGCCTCCTCACTTGCGGGACCGGCCCCGACCGACTCGGGTGGTCCTTGACCACCGCCGTCCGGCTCCCTTAGTGGAAACCCGACCGGATCCCCCCAAACTGCGGGGTCCGTAGGGGCTCCCCGGGCTCCGGGCCAGGGCTGGGGTCTCGCCCGGGGCTGGAGAGAGGGTCCTTCCGGCTCGGATGGGTCTCGTTGGCCCGGACTAGGGAAGAGTGCCCACCGGTGGGGGCCGGCGGAGGCTGGGTGGGTGCGAAGGGGTCCCACCCTGCCGGAGCCCATCCTGGGATCGAAGCGGCCGAGACCGCGTTCTCCCGGGCTGCCCCCTTCGCAGCGGGGCTTGGGCGGGACCGTGCCGCGAGTGGGGTGGGGGACGCGATGGCTGGGATTTGTCTTCTCTCGGGGTGAGACCTACCCTAGTTCCATCAATGCCTGTGCCTTCATAGTAGGCCTCGCAGCTGAGTTCACCATTATCCCCATTTCACAGTCCGACAAACTGAGGCGCGGGGGAGCGGCCTTGGCGAGTTGCCCGAGGTCACCCTGAGTGTCAGGGAAGCAGCAGCCCCTTTCCAGGCCCGCCTGCTCGGTGGTGGAAGGGCAGGGCAGGGCAGGGCAGTGCTGCTTTTGGTTTCCGACTAGTGTCTCAGGGAGGCTCTGACAGCTGGTGAGGAGAGGGTGTTAGGCAGGATGTGTATGTGCGTGTGCCTGCCCCCTTTCCACAGCCAGCGAAGTGGGCTGGGCTGCTGGGGAGCGGGGTGGTGGCTGGGGAGAGGGGCCCCTGCCCCCCGTGAGTGTGATGACCTGGCCACTGCCTGGACTTCCTCAGCCTCCACACATCCTGCCACCTCCCTGCTGGCCCTTCCTGGCGCAGCAGCCTCCCCTGCCCTGTCAGAGAGCAAAGAGGGATGTGGGGGAGGAGCTGAGTCAGTGTCCTGCCGGCCCCCCAGGCCAGGGGCGGGTAGCCACTTTGCCCACTGCTTGCCTGCCAGGCCCTGCACTGGCTGCTTTCACGTTACCAGAATTGACCCTGTAAGGTGGATGGCAAGTGCCCGTCCAGCAGGTGAGGACGTGGGGGTGTAGAGAGGTGAGGGCCCTGCTGAGGCCGAATCGGTATCCAGGGCTATCCTGGTTTTCTCTCGGGAGATAAGAAATGTACACAGTTGCCTCTCCTGGAGGAGCACATGCTCAGCAGGGCCAGGCTGCTGGGAGCCGCATGGGGGCTGCTGGGAGCCACATGGGGGCCGCCGGAGGAGGGACAGCTTGCCCTGTGCTGGGAGCAGCCTTCCTGTGATTGTAGGACGGTGTCAGGTGGAGATGGACGGGGGGGAGGGAACGCTGTGGACAAAGGCTGGTGGTCACCTTTGGGGGCTGGAAACATGGAAGAGGGGTCTGGAAGGAGAGGGGCCCATCGGCCGGGAAAAGTAGCTTAGGCTTTTGGTCAAGGTTCCCGAGGGTCCAGGAAAGGCTCTGAAGCAGGGCGGAGGAGGAGGAGGAGCACTTCGGACAGTGGTGACTGGTTTCATCCCAGCTGCCTGGGACCTGAGCCTGCTCCAGGCTGGTGTCCTTTCTGTGCCTCCTTCCCTCTGGGCTAGTCCCATCTCCCTGACCCCAGGGATCTGTATGGATCAAGCGGCAAAGGTGCAGTGAATGGGTAAAGGCTGAGGCTGGAAGCCGGGCCTGGAGTCAGGGTTTGCTCCACCTCCTTCTGCCTTCGCGTGCGCAGCCTTGCCCTGGAGCCTCATTCCCCAGCCATTGCCTGGCATCAAATTATATACCTGTCCACTTGTTTATTGTCTGTCTCCTGACTTCCACCAAGAGAAGGGCCACAGCTTTCGTTCACAGCTGACTTCCTGGTCCAGAACAGTGCCTGATAGTGAAAAAAAGAAAAGGGAAGATTCCACAAACATTCCCTGGGTCCTGGGGGTGTGAATGCGCATGTCCCTGCCTGTGAGTCTAGTCTGTGAGGGACAAGTAAATGTCTTCAAGATAATCATGGGCAACAGAGGCTGTGGGAGGGCCGCGGGCGTGTGTGTGTGTGTGTGTGTGTGTGTGTGTGAGTGTGAGAGAGACAGGGCCTCGGAGGAGGAGGTTAAAAGCATGAGGAGGGGTCTGCTTGGCGTTCAAGCAGAGGACACAGGCATGTGGAGGGTCCGAGTCCTGGTGTGTCGGGGATCAGTGAGGATGTGTGGAGACACAAACATGGGGCCCCCAATGCAGGGGGAAGGCTGGGCTGGAAGGGCGGGGCTGACCTCTTGTGCCACCCTAAGGCAGCTGGGTTTTGTTTTTATTATTTGTTTATTTTTTCCATTTTTATTTTTCAATTACAGTTGACATACATGATTATATTAGCTTCAGGTGTACTGGACTTTTTTCTGAAGCCATCCCTGGAGGCTCTGAGCAAACTTGTAACACTGGGCCCTTTTGAGTGAGTCCCTCTGCCAGAGTGCACCTAGGGCAGTGATGGCGAACCTTTTGAGCTCGGCGTGTCAGCATTTTGGAAAACCCTAACTTAACTCTGGTGCCGTGCCACATATAGAAATGTTTTGATATTTGTAACCATAGTAAAACAAAGACTTATATTTTTGATATTTATTTTATATATTTAAATGCCATTTAACAAAGAAAAATCAACCAAAAAAATGAGTTCGCGTGTCACCTCTGACACGCGTGTCATAGGTTCGCCATCACTGCCCTAGAGGGAGGAGGCTATGTCGAAGGTCCTGAGGCCCAGGAGGGCGGGCACAGTGCAGACCTGTGGCCAAAGGGAGGAGGGTGGGCTGGCCTGAATACCATGTGTGAAGGTGCCGTGGGAGAGATTTAGGTTATCAGACCTGTTGACCCTGGGTGGGGGGTGGGAGTTCCCAACTGACCGTAGGACCTCCCCTGCCAGCAGTTTGAAGCCTCACATTGGTGGCCTCCTCTCTCCATGCCTGAGGGGGTGTGCACTGTGTTAGTACCGGCTTCCGGAGGGTCACTGGGCTTCACATTCAGTCCTCATAAAACTTGAGGGAGGTCAGGACTCCCCCTGTCATTTGCCACATTAGGCAGCTGGACTCAGAGAGGGCATGTGACTTAGGAAGGTCACTGTGACCCCACTTCCCAGGCAGCCCTTGGGGTCCCAGCCTGTCATTCCTGCTAGGGACCCTTCCTCAGCTTCTGGAAGTTGAGGCTGATCTGCTGTGGGCCATCCCTAACTCCTCAGGGCCAGGGAGGGGAGGAGGGGGTCTGTCTCCAAAGCATAGAAATTTTTTTTTTAAATATATTTTTATTGATTTCAGAGAGGAAGGGAGAGGGAAAGAGAAATAGAAACATCAATGATGAGAGTGAATCATCGATTGGCTGCCTCCTGCATGCCCCCCACTGGGGATCGAACCCACAATCTGGGCATGTGCCCTGACCAGGAATTGAACCGGTGACCTCTTGGTTCCTGGGTCGACACTCAACCGCTGAGCTACACCCGGCTGGGCCAAAGCACAGAAATTTAGATGGGGTACAGGAGGGTGGGTATTATTCAGCAGGTTTTCCCTGGGGCCACGGGAGGTCCAGACTGAATGCAGGTGAACCCAAGTGACCCGGTGGTCTTGAGCGGGGCTACCACTTCGTTCGGCCTTGGTTTGGGACACCTGTACCTTTGGGGAAGAGGGTGGGAGAAATGGAGAGCAGATAGGGTGAACACCACCCAGAGTTTTCAGGTCTGAGCAGAGCCTGTGTCCCTTCCCTCTGACAGGTATGCAGGGAGGGGCTGCAGCGCAGGGGTGGGGCTGCCAGCCTGCTGAGATGGGGCCCTGGTCCCACGGCCATGGCTGTGGATGTCTCTGAATGTCCAGGCTGCTGCCCCAACTCCTCTCAGGCCACTTCTTCCAGCTGAGGAAGAGGAGAAGGGGCTCCATAGGAGGAAGGCAGGTCAGAGGAGGTGGCCAGGTCAGGTGGCTCTGGTTTCCAGGTTTCCAGCTGCCATCCTCACCGCCCACCCCACTGAGCCATGCCACCCGCTCCCTTCACGCAACCAGACACCTTGGCCTGGTGAGGCTTCGATGCAGGCGCTGATAGGTGGGCTCAGAGCCATGGCAACAGGTGGACGCCTCTTCCCTGCCCGCCAGCCTGGCCTGCCCTGCTCTGCCAGTGGCAGGAGCTGAGACTGCAGAGGGACCGCGACTTAGACAAGAGAGGTCTCCCCAACAGGCAGAGAGTCTGGTATTGGGCACCCAGCAGATGGACCTGACCAGAGAAAATGCCAGAATGAGCAGCTTCGTTGTCTAGGCCTAGGTGGGGACTCATAGCTCACAGGCCCCTGTGGAGCATGCTTCAGCTGGGAGCCCCCAGACCCCGGGGCCGCATCCCCCTGGGCAGCACCCGGCAGGTAGGCCTTGCCAGGACCGGCCCATCCAGAGATCTAGAGGGAACCAGAGGGTCTCTGACCCCAGCCTGTGCTTGGTTCCATCTTTCAGGGTCTCCCGGAGATGAGGGCAGGCAGGGCTGGTTGGGCCACAGGAGAGTGAGTGGGTTGGGGGTGGGTGGCAGCAATAAGGCATTTTCCTGGTGGGCCGCGTGGGCCTTGTCAGAGAGAGGAACTGGACAGCTCACTCATCCTGCTGGTCCGGCTTGTTCTCTGCAGGCAGCATTCTCTTGCCCCCCTCCCCCTCCCACTCTTGGGTGAGGAAGTAGGCTGGTGGGAGGGAAGCTTGAACATCTTTGGTGGATGTCCCAGTTGCCTGGTCCACCCTCTTGGCAATCAGAGATTACTGGATGTTAGGCCAAGACTGCATTAGTGGCTGGGGAGTCTGCCTCGATTTGGGGTGTTACCTGGGCCCTCAGCCCTCTCTCCTGGCTTCTCAGGCCCTTAGTCTTACAGGATTCAAGGCCAAGAGGGTACAGCACCCCCTCCTCCCCAGCCCCATTGGATTCTCCACTGGGCCTGACTCATCTGCCTCCTCATCTCCCCATAGCCCGATCTGCTCAACTTCAAGAAGGGATGGATGTCGATCTTGGACGAGCCTGGAGAGGTAGGAGGGCTGAAGTGGAGAGGAGCGGGGTGGCTGGGGGCAGCCCAGGAGGCGGAGCTGCTTCCCTCGCCTGTCCAACCTTCTAGAGACCATGGCTTCCAGGTGGAGGGGGGCCAGGGTGGGGGCCAGAAGTGGGAACTCTGAGGCAGGGTGTTTCTTGTCCAGCCTTGGACTATGGGGGTGGGAGGGTGGAGGCTTCCCGGAGCAGTCCAGTGTGTAAGAGTCACCATGGAGGGGGCCTCCTAGCCTCAGGCTCTGTACCCCATCCCCTCCTCTCACCAAGAACCTCTTGGTCCTGCCACCTCTTGGTGACCTCCTGGGTATCCGAGGGTCTGGGGTAGAAGGGCTCAGAGATCATCGGGCCTGAGACGCACAGATTTGTAACAATTCAATCGTCTTAACAGCCTCTCCTCCCCCACCCTGCAGATGATGCTCAGAGCACATCTGAAGTCTCACCAACCTGGGGCCCCATTGGTCAAATCACAGCTTTCCCTGGCCTCGGTGGCCACATCTGTGAGATGGGCATAGTGGATGATGATGATTCCTTCCAGGGTTGATAGGCACAGATGTCAAGCAGGTAAAGGGTCTCACATAGCCCCCAGTATCTGCTAGGGCCTCAGTAATCACCCTTCCCTTTCTCTAATGTGTCTGTCCTTAGATCCAGAAGGGACAGTGGCCTCTTATGGGTTCTGCCCTTTCGGCTGCCATGCTGGAGCTGGAGCTGGCTTTCTGCCCACCCACCTTGGGAGGGAACGTCTCCCCGCCCCTGCCCTGCATGCGCTCGTGGCTTTGGTCTGTGTGCAGCCCGCATGCCGGGAGGGCTGGGAGCCAAGGGAATTGCATTGTGTTTCCTACCCACATGCTTTATCCCCTCCAACCCACAGCCTTCCGTACCCGCTGCCTGCTCGCCGGTCCTCTGGTGGCTGCCCTCCAGCCTCAAACAAGGCCTGGCACCTTGCCAGTGACCCGTCCTGGCCTCCCACCCAGGGTCTCTGGAGGGCAGAGATTATGGGCCCCACCCAGCACTGGCTGTTACTCATTCTCTTTCCCGAGGTTTTGGAATGTCCGAGCTGGAAGGGCCCTGGGAGTTCAGCCAGCACAGCCCCTTGGTGCACAGACAGGAGACAGGCCCACAAGGGCTTCGATCTCTTCCAGGCCTAGCAGTACCTTGGGCAGACACAGGCCTGGAACTCGGGCACTGGAGGCCCACAGAGCTCCATCTAGCTCCCATCTTAGACAGTCATAGACTGGGCCAAGGACATCATTTTGCACAGAACCCCTGCCCCACTTTACAAAGGGACAGTTGAGGTCTTGAGCTGCAATTCAGGCCACTCAATAAGAGCAGGTAGTTCTAAGAGGGCCAGCCATTTAGAGCAATCCCCAACAGTGTAGTGCCCACCCTGGGCCAGGTGCCCTGAGAGACACACAAGGGAGGGTTAGGAACTTCTAACCTTACGAGAGGCTTAGGCATTTCTTATTAGCCCTACTTTACAAATCTGAAGACTGAAGCTCAGAGAGGTCAAGATACTTAACTAAAGACACACAGCTAGGAAGGGATAAAATAGTTGTCTCTTGAATACTAAGGAGAGGTAGTGTTGAAAGAAGTAGAAAATGTCATTCTGGCACATCCTTGAAAATGTACCATCTTCTTAAGGAAAAAAAAGAACCCTAAGTACTTGAAATAGCAAACAGTGTGGATGGGGCTTGGCGATGTGTGGGAATCCAAGGAGATGTGGGGACTGCACTGACCCTGGCAGTGGGTGGACCTGAACTAGCATTCCAGCAAATGGCCAGAAGCCAGAGGAGGGCCAAGGTTGGCCCCTTCAATATCAGGCTGTACTGGTGCCCCCACCCCTTTCCTTTCTGATGTGTCCTGCTAACCTGACCCCAGCTGGAGCAGAGAGAAAGGCGCTGCAGAAAGGTGCCCAAATCCTAAATGTTCAGATAATGCATCTCACAAGGTGAACACACGTGTAACCAGCACCCAGATCAAGAAACAGAATGCGACCAGATGCCTCCCCCTGGGCCACCTTCCAGTCCTGCTCTCTGGGAGTCCTGTCCCTGGCGACTGGGGAGATCCAGAGGGGCATATGCAAAGTAACTGGGGAAGTTCTGGTCCCTGGCTTGCTAGGCAGATGACCTTACACAGGTCACAACCCCTCCCTGGTCTACCCTGGGGGGATTTGCTTGTAGGCGCCTCAGCGATCTTGGTGGAAAGGATCAAGATGGGTATGGAAGTGTTCACAAAGCAGAGAAGGGCTCCCGGAAGGAAGGTGGGGGGCGGTTCCGGATGAGAGGTCGACCCATTTCATCGATGCTGCCCCTGCAGCTCAGAGAGGAATGGGAGGGCCAGGCATCAAATGTGGATTTTCTGACTGCCCTGCCCTCTGCCCCTACCTCTCAGCGGGCTGGATGAGGGTGCTAGGCCCCTACTTGAGCAGAATGGTTGACCTGGCAGCACCCAGGGTGCCAGCAAAGTGGCACAGGCATGCTCTTTCCTTCCACACTGGCCCCCTTACCACCGCCTCTCCTTCACAGTGGAAGAAGCATTGGTTTGTGCTGACTGATTCCAGCCTCAAGTACTACAGGGACTCCACCGCCGAGGAGGTGAGGCACCAGGTGCTGGGGGCGCCTGGAAGGGGCTTGGGGGTTGTGGGGGGGTCACTGGAGTATATGCACCATTGCCTTCCTGCTGTAGGCAGATGAGCTGGATGGCGAGATTGACCTGCGTTCCTGCACTGACGTCACCGAGTATGCAGTACAGCGCAACTACGGCTTCCAGATTCACGTGAGACTGTGCATCTGGGGGGTGGCATGACTGGAGAGCCCCCAGAGGAGATGTTGGTGTGGAGCATGCCTGGCTCTTGTCACTCATTTACCCAGAGACCCTGTCCTCAGAGCCAGTCAGAAGCTCTCCTGCCAACACAGCATATCTGGGGAGATCCCAGATATCGTTGGCCGGGTAATTCAAATATTGGGGAGACCTTGGAGCCACTGGCACTCTTCCAAGACTAGGCTAGTGAAGGGGAGGTATTTCACCCTCTGCTCAACTCCAGGCTCAAGACCTTAGACTCTCTCTTGGGAGAGAAGGCCACCCTCCCTGGGGTCCATAGTGGGGTGGGAGCAGTGGTGCTGGCCACATGGCAACCTACCTGTGGGGTGGTCTTGCAGACCAAGGATTCTGTCTATACCTTGTCGGCCATGACCTCGGGCATCCGGAGGAACTGGATCGAGGCTCTGAGGAAGACTGTGCGTCCCATCTCAGCCCCAGATGTCACCAAGTACGTGCTGGGTTGGACCAGGGCTTTGGGGAGGCACTTCCCCTGTATCACTGAGTGCTGTGCTGGCACTCACCTGGGAGCCTCTGGCTGTACCTTCTGGGCCTCAGTTTCTCTATCAACAAAATGAGGAGAGGGCAGTGAGCATCTTGGCAGTCCTCCAGAAATACAGTGAGGATTTGGAGTGTGACTGCTGTCCCTCTACGTCCCCCACATCCTGAAAAGGTGGGGAGAGGCCTTAGCTCTTTGGAGGAGATGCCAGTGCGTAAAAGGCCCCCCTAGTGGCTGATGGTCTGTGCTGTGTGGTCTGTGTCTCATCCTGTGTTAGGAGAGGGGATGGCTTGGCAGTCTGGGAGAGCAACTCACTCCCAGTGGAGGCCTCCGTGGGTAGAGTAGAGGGAGGGCTCAGTTACCTGGAGGTAGCGCTCCCACACAGTATAAACCCCAGACACCTATGGGGGGCTAGGACTTGTGGCTGCCAGGCAGCAGGAATGGAAACATGACATTGAGGGGTGTCAAGCGTGAGTCCCCCTGTGTGGCCATAGCCTGGATGTTCAACCTCAGTCCAGTCACCTTGTCTGAGTTTCAGACACTTCATTAGTCAGACTGTCACGAGAATATGCATAGGAGCCCTTTGTGAACTGGAGCACAGTGCAGCTGGATTGTTACTTAGTGTATAGGCTTGGCTGCTGTAACAAAGAAGCTCCAAGCACAGTGACTTTAAGCAGGAGAGGTTTATTTCTTTCTCCAGAGCAGTCCTGTGGTGTGTAGTCCAGACCAGCCCTGTGGCCCTCAACTCATAGCTTTGCCTCTGACTCAGGAAACTGCTAACATTCTCCTGGAGTGCCAAACAGGAGCCAGGCCAGGGCACACCCAGTCCTTTAAAGGGTGTCACCTCTCACTTCCACTGGGCAGAATGTAGGTACATGGCCCTACATAGCAGCAAGGGATGCTGGGAAGTGTAGTTTTGGGATGGGCGACCATATACCCTGTTATTGTTATAGAGAAGAGTACTGCCAAAGTTGTTAAATCTCCACACTTTGTGCCTATGCACCCAGAGGTCACTGTTCACCTGTTTGGCAGTAACCATGGGCATCTCCCTTATTCCACTGTGAGTTTTGTGAACCCAGGATCTTATATCAAACCATACTTTTAATAATAATGCTTTGATCACTATTCTTAATGGGCTTCCTGGTTGCTTTACACACATTCGCCCACCTAGTCCCCATATTCATCCTGTGAGAAGCATTGTCCCATATTACAGATGAGTGACTGAGCGCAGAGGGAAGCCAGATATTCTGGTCCCTCTGCTGGTCAGTGGTAGAGTTGGGATGGCTCCTGGGTGTGTTAATGGTGAAGCTCTAGCTCTGACCTCTGGGTTCGGCTGCCTCCTCTGCTGGGTTCATCCCCAGGCTCTGGCACATGGGGACGTTCCAGAAGTGCTTGTTTGGGGACTGAGTGGGCAAGACCCTGCCTGATGTGGCTCTGCTGGCACCCTAGGCTCTCGGACTGCAATAAGGAGAACACACTGCACAGCTACAGCGCCCAGAAGGGCTCCCTGAAGGTGGGGGAGCAGCGTGCGGGCTCCGAGGTCATCAGTCGGGGCAGCCCTCGGAAGGCAGATGGACAGCGGCCATCCCTGGACTACGTGGAGCTCTCCCCACTGTCTCAGGGCTCCGCACAGCGGGCCCGCACCCCAGCTCGCACTCTTGACCGCCTAGCCAAGGAGGAGGAGTTGGAACGGGACCTGGCCCATCGCTCTGAGGAGCGACGCAAATGGTTTGAGGCCGTGGACAGCAGAGCCACAGAGACACCTGCTGGCGAGGGGCCACGCCGGGGCCTGGGTGCCCCCCTGACCGAGGACCAGCAGAGTCGGCTCAGCGAGGAGATCGAGAAGAAGTGGCAGGAGCTGGAGAAACTGCCTCTGCGGGAGAACAAGCGGGTGCCTCTCACCGCTCTGCTCAACCAAAGCCGCGGGGAGCGCCGGGGGCCCCCTAGTGACAGCCATGAGGCACTGGAGAAGGAGGTAGACATCATGGCTGGCCTCTGGGAACCCCCTTACCCCACCAACACCCCTCCTATCCCTATAGTCATGCTGCAGCATTTATCATGCATACCTACAGTGGTGGGGAGCTCACTCCTGGTCCACTGTTGGACACCTCAGACTCCTTTGTGAACTGGAATCTTCTCTAGACCTTGGGGTTTTTATTGTTTTTAAGAAGCATTTTTATTGATTTTTAGAGAGGGAAGGAGAGAGAGAGAGAGAGAGAAACATGGATGTGAAAGCAGAATATCAATCAGCTGCCTTCTGCACACCTCTCACTGGGGATCAAGCCTGCAACCTGGCTTGTGCCCTGGCCAGTAATCAAGCCGGGAACCTCTCGGTACACAGGACAATGTCCAACCAAATGAGCCATACAGGCCAGGGCTGTTTTTTTTTGTTTTGTTTTGTTTTAAATATATTTTATTGATTTTTTTTTTTTTACAGGGAGGAACGGAGAGAGATAGAGAGTTAGAAACATCGATGAGAGAGAAACATTGATCAGCTGCCTCCTGCACATCTCCTACTGGGGATGTGCCCGCAACCCAGGTACATGCCCTTGACCGGAATTGAACCTGGGACCTTTCAGTCCGCAGGCCGACGCTCTATCCACTGAGCCAAACCGGTTTCGGCCAGGGCTGTTTTTTGATATTTTTGCTTCTTAGTTCTGTCCTCAGCAATCACACAGAGGGAATAGAGAAGAAAAAGGAGAGACCATTTACTGAGCATCTTGCCCTTGGCCCTCTTTACATACATAGGCTCATATATGTTCACAGCAGTCTCATGGTCCCATAGGGTAGATCTCATCACAGTTTTACTGATGGGAAGCTGAGGCTTAAAGACATTTCCCCTGCCACCTATGTAATGTAAATGTCCGTGGCCACAGCATTCTGTTCCCAACCCTGTCTAGTCTTCTCTGGGCCAGAGCTCTTCTGGCTCATTGGCCCTGCCATCCGGGACACAGCTGGCTGTCCCCCTGGCCTGCACATCCCACCAGGGCCACGTCTCCTCCCATCCACAGCTCTGCCCTGCCTCGCGCCAGCCCTCTCTGCTTTCAGGCCCCCGCTGACCTCATCTCCCTTCACAGGTCCTGTCTCTTCGTGCCCAGCTGGAGGCATGGCGTCTTCAGGGGGAGGCTCCTCAGGGTGCACCCAGGTCCCAGGAGGATGGTCACATCCCCCCAGGCTACATCTCACAGGTGAGGCTGAAGAGCTGCTTTGTGGGGGACGGGGGCAAGTATCTGGTTGCCATGTTTTCAGAAAAGAGCTAATATTTTGGAAGCCCTTCCTGTGTACCAGAACCATGGGAGGCATTTGACATGCATTGTCTCAATCTCTCCAGCGGGTGGACATGAGCATTGTGCCGTTTTACAGACAAGGCCACTGAGCTGTGAGAGGTTATGTGACTTGCCCAAGGTCAGCTGGCCTGCAGCTGTCAGAGGGGATTTAAGCTCAGGTCTGGCTGATAGCCCTCATATGACACTCTGCACTTGGACCACTTTCTTCACACCACCCTGGGGACATGGGGAGCCAATGGGGGGTGGGCACTCCAATGGGCAGGCCCCTGAGAGGTGCTGCCTAAACAGGGAAGTCCTGCCCATGCCTGCCAGGCCGAGGCCCTCATAAGATGGTCTTTGGGACTTGGGAGCCCCCGGTGGCCCTTAGGGGAACGTGAGGACAGCAGTTCTCAACTGAGACTGATTCTGTTCCCCTGGGGACATTTGGTCATGTCTGGGGACAACTTGCTCTCCAGAAAAAATACACCTATGTGTACACACTTGCACACTTATATATGGTATATCCTATATAATAAAAGGCTAATATGCAAATCGACCAAACAGTGGAACAACTGGTCACCATGACGCGCACTGACCACCAGGGGGCAGACAACGCAGGAGCTGCCCCCTGGTGGTCAGTGCGCTCCCACAGGGGGAGCGCCACTCAGCCAGCAGCTGGGCTCACAGTTGGCGAGCGCAGAAGTGGTGACAGGAGCCGCTCTGGAGAGGCTCAGCACTAAGGACCCCTTGGGGGATGTCTGACTGCTGGCTTAGGCCGCTCCCCAGAGGCCAGGCTCAGGGACCCCTCCCCGCTCCCACCCAGTGCATGAATGTTGTGCACCGGGCCTCTAGTATATATAGATATAGATATACACATAGACGTAGATATAGATATAGATATAGATATAGATATAGATATAGATATAGATATAGATATAGATATAGATATAGATATATTACTGATACAAAGGATGTTTAGTATCAACTTACAAATAAAAAATATGTAATACTTTTTATTGTAACTTCTATATAGCTAATTGATTTTTCTCATAATTCTTCCATTGGTTTTTCCGAATGCTTGTATCCAGAGGTAACTGACAAACGAGTGTCATTCTAACATGAATGTTGGTTGACATTTTTATTTATGTGGATGAGTAAGACGAGAAACATATTGAAACTTTTCTTGATCAATGTCATGAGCAATTTTTTGGTTGAATTGGATAATAGTTCTCTATTGAGAATATTTTCTTAAGAGTATTCCCTCAGGTTTTTGTTCTACTTACAATGTAGTGGTCATAGGTATGGCACACTTTTAAATTTAATCTGCATTACTAGCATTTTCTCATCACTTGCTTAAGTCTAGACTATCAAAAAATAAACCGAGTCCTGATTTGTAACGTTTACCAATGTCCATGGTGTAAATACTCCCACTGTGGCTGAGGACCGGCACACAGAGTTGGGAAGACATGTGCACACCCATTATAGAGCATTTCCACCACACAGACACAGAAGAGAAGTAACCTTGGGAGCATAGACAACAATAAAATGCAGTGAAATCCTTACGAAAAGATGTTTGGCGTATCAGCTTTGTTTTTAATGTAATTAACTATAAGCTTACATAATTTTTAATAATGGCCTGCTTAACTGTGTCACAAAATTCCTAAAAGTTTGATAATCGGCTGCCTCTAATCAGCACATCATTGCCTGAAGCAGAAAAGAATGCTGGGAACCCAGGCTCTGAGCAGAGGGACCTTCCAGAAGTTCAGGCGGGAGGTTGCTGTGCGGGGCTCTTGGGAAGCCTTCCTGGGGGCGGGCATGGAGCTGAGCACTGGGGCGGGGGCATGGGCTGTGGTGGAAGGCTGGTGGGTGCCTATCCTGGAGACCTCCGCTGCCAAGCCAGAAGTTTGGATCTTGTCCCACAGACTGAGGAGGTTTGGGGTGATGCCGGGAAGGTGGTGTTGGAGTGGAAGGGTCTTGGGAGGGGCCAAGGCCATGGCAGGAGCTAGGATGATGACAGGGTGAGCGGGATGTAGGAGGGTACAAAGGGGGGAGAGTTTAGGACTGGGTGACTGGGCCCAAGGAAGGCAGAGGGGAGCCCCCAAGGGGCCCTAAGGCTGGGGTTGCTGTCAAGGCCTGGGGGCCCATCTGGGGCTGTGTGGTTCAGCTGAAGGAAGACCAGGGCCTGGGGAGTTGGGCCTTGACATGAAGGGCTAGCTTGGGGGTCACCTGACATGTGGAAGGAGGAGAGGGTAGGGACCAGTGTTGTCAAAGGCTCCCTTGAGGCAAGAGGTAAGGGTGGGTGGGGGTGGGTGGGGCCGGGTGGGGCCCAACACCTCAGAGACCCCCACAAGCTGTGCTCTGTGGAGCTGTGGTCTCCCAGGGACTGCTTTTCTGAGTGGGTTCATCCACATCCACGGGGAATCAGAGCAGCTCCGCCTTTGTCCATTTTACTATTAGAACCTGCATTAGATTTCCTTTGCAAAAAGGGTTCTGTTGCTAAAATTAAATTTGAAAAGCACTTCTCTGACGTGTCAGCATACAGATAGGGAAACAGGCCCAGAGAGGAGGCTAGAACTTTGACCTGGAGTCAGACTAGTGCTGCAGTCCAGGCCTCCTGGGCTGTCACACTTTGTCTTGTGAGTTTGGGATGGTAGGTGAGCAGGCAGAACTGAGGGGCGTTGAGAAGGGAATAAAGGGGAAACGGGGGGCAGAAGACGGGAGTGGAGGAGTGGCTCAGGACGCGGAGGGCACCAGCGAAGAGGAGCTGAGCCACCTGTGTCCCCCAGGCACTGGAGGAAGCGGCTGGAGGTTCAGTGGACCCTGGAGAGGTGACAGCTGGGGAGGGATCCCCCAACCTGCTATCTCAGGCCGAGTGGGTGCCCCTCTTTTAGCTGGTGCGGCGGCTTGCCACCACAGGACAGCAGCTGGGGGGTCTGGGACTTCACAGGCTGTAGTGCCTCTAGCAAAGGGGACCCTTCCATCCTAGTGCAGTGGGGATCATGGGCATTTCTTTGTCCACTTTGATCCACGTCAGAGGTGGCAGCTGACACCTTGAGCCCACAGGAAGGGAGGTCAGAGAGCAGCACCTGACCTGCTAGGAGCCCCTCATCATGGGCTGGTTCCACCTCCTGACACCAGCCTCCTGACCCCCTATTAGCTTCTGGCTCTGCCTGCCTGATCTGACCCTTTAAGGACAGATCCCCACCCCCCTATTTTTCTGATCTCTGCAGGTGGGTGGTCTCTAGGTGGGCGCTAGCTTACCTTAGGGCAGGGGTGGGCAACCTTTTTGTGAGTGCGTGCCAAAACCAGCAAAATCTCTGACTCAAAATTCTTCTGCATGCCAACCCTAATTTTTTGAGAACATGTTACACTTAACTTGATATCTCTTAAGATATACATATGTGAAGAACCTTGAAGAAATAATAAAATTCATTCAAGCGACAAAAACACAGTATATGACAGTGATGGCGAACCTTTTGAGCTCGGCATGTCAGCATTTTGAAAAACCCTAACTTAACTCTGGTGCCGTGTCACATATAGAAATTTTTTGATATTTGTAACCATAGTAAAACAAAGATTTATATTTTTGATATTTATTTTATATCTTTAAATGCCATTTAACAAAGAAAAATCAACCAAAAAAATTAGTTTGCGTGTCACCTCTGACACGGATGTCATAGGTTCGCCATCACTGGTATATGATGATGAAAAATACATTTATTTTTTAATGTATACATGTACACTGATAGTCCGACAGGAAACTTTATGACTCCGTTTGATATTATCAGTGGGACTTTTGCTGCTGCATCACTGATGACAGAGCTTTTACATCAGGTTTATATTTCGTGACCTTCAGAGATATGCACGAGCTACTACTTTCATCCGTCAGGCTGCTCCTATTACGAGACTTAACAAAATTCATCACTGAGAACAAAGATTCACAAGCGTATGTGGATGAAACCAAAACACTGGTCGGATCTAGGAAGGCAGGGAGAGTTAGGGCAGAGGCATAGAAATTGCTCTTCCCCTCTCTCGTCAATCCATGTCTATGGTCTTTAAGATAACTTGTTATGAAAAATTATTTATCTAAGATGCACCTACACTGAATTTATCTGAAAAATAAAAAAGTCGATATTAAGAAAAAAATTGTAAATGGAAGATTATAAGAGAGGGTTTCATGTGCCAGCAAAAGTTACTGGCGTGCCATGTTTGGCACGCATGCCAGGGGTTGCCCACCCCTGCCTTAGGGACACTCAGGAGTTGGTCTTATGAGGCCTGTTTTACAGATAAGGAGACTGATGCTCAGAGAGGGAAGAGGCTTAAGGTCATTCCACAGTACAGCCAGGATTAGGACTACAAAGCAGGTTCTATTGTCCTAACTAGAGGGATCTACAGAGGGCATGCGCAGAGTCCCAGGGAGACAGGTACCCTTGCTCACTGCCTCAACACCTGGACCCAGGTGGGCTGGCCCTTCCCTTCCCCCAAAGTGGCCTCCAAGGTGTGGCTGTGGCTGCTGGAGAGGTGGGGTCGCCCCCACCACTGTGAGATGCCCTGTACCATGAAGGAGAATACAGTTCTTTCGTGTGATTTTTAGAGAGAGGAAGGGAGAGGGAGAGATAGAAACATCAATCAGCTGCCTCCTGCATGCCCCCTACCGAAGATGAAGTCCGTAACTCTGGCATGTTCCCTGAGGGGGAATCGAACCCTTGGCCTCTTGGTGCATGGGACAGTGATCAATCCACTGAGCCACACCAGCCAGGTGAGAATACCACCTCTTACCTGGCCTCTGGGCCTTGGTTCTTCCCTAGCTCTTCACCTTCCCTTTTCAATTATCTTAATTTTTTTTATGCTCACCCAGGGCTATGGTTTTTTAAATTGACTTTACAGGGAGAGACAGAAAAACATGGATGTGAAAGAGAAACCGACCGATCAGTTGCCTGCTGTACATGCCCTGACCTGGAATTGAACCTGCAACCTTTTTGATGTACAGAACGACGCTCCAACTGGCTCAGCCACCCAGCCAGGGCCTTAAATATTTTTTTAATTATATAAGAAATAGGTTTACATTTTCGTAAATAATTCAAATTAAAAGGTTAGAAATAAACACATGAACTCCCCCTGCCTGCCCCCCCGTGCCCCGCAGGGGTCGCCTAGAGTGCCATCAGAGCACATCTGTGTTGTTTCCTGTATCACCTCACGGTTTGGAGGGCAGAAGTCGAGCATGGGTCTCGCCAGGCTAAATCCAGGCACCCGCAGAACTGCGTCTCCTGTGAGCTCTGGGTGCGATCGGCTTCTCGCCTTTTCCAGCATCTGGTGGCTGCCCTCCTTCCGTGGCTCGCGGCTATTCCTTCCTCTTTAAAGAGAGCAAGGAGTCAAGTCCTCACTTCACGTCACTCTACCTCCTTCCGCAGCCACTCCTCCACCACCACCCCCCCACCCTCCCCCCGCCCTGCTCTCCTGCCTGTTCTGCATCTATGGACCCTGATCCCGTGGCTTCATGGCCAGTCCGTAATCTAGGAGAGAGTCTCCTTGTTTAAGGGCATCTAGCAAGCTCAGGTCCCCTCCGCCGCAGTATAAGGTGATACTCACAGGTTCCGGAGCGGGACGCGGACATCTTTGGGGGCCAGTCCTCTGCCTTCTAGCGTCCTTACTTACCTTTCCTGTGATTTTCCATACATGTATCCGGATGTCCAGCTCCATGGGCTTTGTTTCCGTGAGTGGGATCACCATGTACATTGCCAGAAACCAGCTTCTATCACCTAACTTTCCACACTCCTTCCCCCGGCTGTCCATGTGCGCGGCTCTGCCTTTTACCAGCTGCCTGGGTCCTTTGTAAGGCTCGATCTCATGACTTATTTAAGGGTTGTTTGTTTAGATGGTTTCCAGTTCTTGTGTGTTGCCAGTCTTTGTACACGTGTGACTTTCTGTGGGGTCATTCTTACCATTGGACCCGCTAGGTCGTTGGTTCTCAACCTCCTGGCCCTTTAAATACAGTTCCTCATGTTGTGACCCAACCATAACATTATTTTTGTTGCTACTTCATAACTGTCATGTTGCTACTGTTATGAATCGTCATGTAAATATCTGATATGCAGGATGGTCTTAGGCAACCCCTGGGAAAGGGTCGTTCGACCGCCAAAGGGGTCGCGACCCACAGGTTGAGAACCGCTGCGCTAGGTGAAGGGATAGGGTCATTAAAAATGCATCGGTGCTATCAAACTGCCCTCCACGAACCCCATCACAGCGACTCTCCCAGCAGTGGGTATTACCAGGCTTTTAAATACTGGCCAGTCTGTCCTAGCTGGTTTGGCTCAGTGGATAGAGTGTCAGCCTGCGGACTGAAGGGTCCCAGGTTTGATTCTGGTCAAGCGCACATGCCTGGGTTGTGAGCTTGATCCCCAGTGTGGGGCATGCAGGAGGCAGCTGATCAATGATGTTTCTCTCATCGTTGATGTTTCTCTCTCTCTCTCCCTCTCCCTTCCTCTCTGAAATAATATAAAAAAATACATATTAAAAAAAATACTGGCCAGTCTGATCCACAAGGCCCTGTTCTGTGATGTCATCAATTTCAGCTCCTTTCCCCAGCACCTGCCACACGTCAGGCCCTGTCCTGGGCCGCGTGTCCTCGGGGGACTTATATCTGGCGGAAACAAGGCCTTTGGCGGCAGCGGAGAGCTTGTCCAGAGACAGAGCTAGGAGGGTATTTAAGCCGCAGGTGAAGTGAGTTACCCAGGGAAAGAAAGATGTAAAAGAATGTTTCAGGCAGTGGAAAGAGCATAAGCTAAAGCTCGGGTGTGAACACACTGAATTGTTTTTTATAACTAGGGGGGTTTTTTGGTGTGGTGAGGGCCAGGGATGAGGCTGCAGGGGTCAGACATGGAACAGGGATTTGACCCTGCAGGATGGGGGCCTGAGAAGGGTTTGAAACAGAAGAATGACAGGATGAGGTTTGTAGCTGGAGGAGAGGGATGGTGGCGGGTACAGGCTGGTGGTGCTGGGGTCCAGGGGAAGCCTGGACCAGGGTAGGCCTGCCTACCTCAGGCTGGAGAAGGACCACTCCCAGGCAATGGGAGCAGCCCGTGACCCCTGGCCCTGCCTGCAGGAGGCCTGGGAGCGCAGCCTGGCCGAGATGGAGTCCTCCCACCAGCAGGTGATGGAAGAGCTGCAGCGGCACCACGAGCGGGAGCTGCAGAGGCTGCAGCAGGAGAAGGAGTGGCTCCTGGCTGAGGAGACAGCCGCCACGGCCTCAGGTGAGGACCCGGGAAGGAGTGGCACAGCGGGCTCGGCCTCGCAAACCTCTAAGCTGAGGCCCCTCCTCGCTGGATTTGGGAGGCTCTTAAATAAGAAGCTGGGGTCCCTGGTGCTAGACTTAGGGTAAGGGATCAAGAGGAGTTGGAAGCCCCCAGAATTGGCCTCTGAACCTACTTAAAAAGAGGAAAGTGAGGCAATGAAAAGACCCTCCCTCCCCCCATTGGCTGTGAGTGCTCCCTCGGGGCATGTAGCCTCTGGAAGGTTCAGTGTGATCCAAGCCGGTGCCATGTCCTGGGGGAGAGACTGCTTAGCCACAGACCCAGTTTTCACAGCGGGGCCACCTTACTGGGCACACAGGCCAGACCCCGGGGAGAGCAGGGAGGGGTGTGAGCAGTCCTAGGCCTTGCAGTGACCCATTTCACAGATGAGGACACTGGCTCAGAGGTTAGTGATCTGTCCCGAATGGCACAGCTTATCGGTGGCAGAGCTGGAGGTGGAGCCCAGAGCACACTGACTGCAAAGCCATGCTCTGAACCGACCCTCTGCTTTGTGTGCCTGGCACAGCGCATGCACCTCCGGAGCGTTTTAGAATAATGGAAATGATGGAAGAGATCACATGATCTAGAACTTACACCTGCTAAGTGCTTGACACACTCAAGCCCATGGCCCCGCATCGCAAACCCTGGGGCCATGCGTTCTGCTTTTAGGAAGATAACCGGGTGCATATATTAGGTGTCTCAGCAGGATCTGGGCTTCACCCTGAAATCTAGCACCAAGTTATTTGCAGTGACATTTCTCAGGGTCACCCTTAAGTGGGACCTCAAATAGCCTCATGTCCATTTAGGCCGGGGATTGTCACCAAAAGAGTTATGAAAAACTTCCAGTGTTCAGAGCTTTTGGATTTTGGAATTACAGATAAGATATGGTTGAGGATTGTTTAATCCTCACAGCAACCCTGTGTAAGTGTGAAAAGAGACTCAGTCCTCGGGAGCTCACAGTCTGAAAAATCAGCCAGAAGCTAAAGTCTGTGCTGTGCATTATTCGAAATGCCCTTCACACGTCTCCCAGGGACTCATGAGAGAAGGTGCGCTGTTAACCCCACTTTCCAGATGAGGACCTGAGGCCCAGAGGGGTGAAGTCCCCTGAGCAAAATCTCCTCGATTTGTATCCACTGCTGAGCCTGTACTCTTGACCACTAAGCTGGGCCGCACAGATGGGTCTTGTTAAAGGACCCTCCAGGCTGTGCAGGGACAGTGGACTGTGGGCTCTACCCAGCCATCGCTAACAGAAGGTACCAGTGCTCAGACGCTGGGTGTCTCCCCAGCAGGGTCCATCAGACAGGGATTGTGAACTTCTCTTGCTAGACAGGCTCAAGAAGGTCGAGCAGCTTACCCAGAGCCACTCAGTTCACGACACAGCCTGGTCCCGGGCTCTTTGCATGCCCCTGCCTGCTCCTGTCTCCACGGCAGGTGTGGCGTCTCAGAGGAGGGGAAGTTGGTGCTGCTGACCCCTCCCCAACCTCCCCCTCGCTTCTGCTCTGTTTCCAGCCATCGAAGCCATGAAGAAGGCCTACCAGGAGGAGCTGAGCCGGGAGCTGAACAAGACACGGAGCCTCCAGCAGGGCCCAGACGGCCTCCGGAAGCAGCACCAGTGAGATGGCACTTGGGTCCTGGGGTCTGTGGGCTGGGCCTCCTTCTGAGCCGGGGACCCAGCTGCATACACTGGCGGTCATGAGTCAGGGACCTGTGCTGACGTCACTGGGCAAAGGATACGTCAGTTTGCCCCCAAATGAGACCCCCACTGACATCATTGCGGCACCTGAACAGAAGCAGCAGGGCCTTAGTCAGGCCTCCATGCCATCCAAATAGACAATTCTTCAGGCCACCGTTCTTCTGGCCCCTTCTTGTCAGGCTGGTCTCGGCCTCCAACTCCTGTCCCCTCGTTAGTGTCCCCTAGAGCTGGGCTGCAGTGTCAGCCTCGGCCAGTCCCTGTCCTGCCACCGAGCACAGTTCTGGAGGCTGCAGAGGCTATAGCGATGGGCTCCTCCCACCCGCCCCTCACAGAGGAGGCATCTGTAGCCACGGGAGCCTGTCACCGTTCAAAGCCCCACAGTTGGGCTCAAAGCAACACTAGGGTGGGAATCAGGAGCCGCGTTGAGTTTGCCATGACCCGACGCAGCTTGGCAGAGGGCACGCGAGCCCACACCCATCACTGTTCCCCTCCTCCGCCCCGGCAGGTCAGACATGGAGGCGCTGAAGCGGGAGCTGCAGGTGCTGTCGGAGCAGTACTCTCAGAAGTGCCTGGAGATCGGCACCCTGACGCAGCAGGCCGAGGAGCGCGAGCACACGCTGCGCTGCTGCCAGCAGGAGGGCCAGGAGCTGCTGCGCCACAACCAGGTGGGCCTGGCCCCAGTGGGTGGGGATGGGCGCCCAGCAGCCCTGCGCTGACCATGCCCCCCTGCCCACCCCCAGGAGCTGCATGCCCGCCTGTCTGAGGAGATTGACCGGCTGCGCGGCTTCATTGCCTCACAGGGCACTGGCAGCGGCTGTGGGCGCAATGAGCGCAGCTCCTGTGAGCTGGAGGTAAGTGCACACCTCGGGGCCTAGGCCTGGGAGGGCACCTGAGGGGCTGGGCCCAGCAAGGAGACGCCAGCACAGCTGGGAAGGACCTGCTGGGTGCGCTGCACTCTTGCAGCCAGAGTCCAGCCCTCCCACCCATCTGCTATGTGGTCAGGACCAGAGCCTCGCCTTTCTAAGTCCCAGTAGCTCATCTGTAAAATGGGCTCGCACACCTTTCTTACTGGGAGAAGTTGCAGTGAGAAAATGTGGGCATGATCCCAGGATCACCCTGATACTTTATTTTACAAACATTTATATACGGTTTACTCTGTGCCTGGGACTTCTGTAAGCCGAGGTTCTTAACTCACCAAGTCTCCCTCACAGTCCTATGGGGCACATGCTGTTACTGTTCCCGTCTTACAGGTAAGAAAACAGACACAAGAAGGCCAAGTACCTTACCCAAGAGCACACGGATAGTTGGTGTGGGAGCTGGGATTTCAACCCAGCCGTCTGGTTCCAGAGTCTAAGCTTTTAAGTCTCCCCAGTCTGGCTGAAACCGTCTCCTCCTTAGCTAAGTCAGGACAGCAACACCTGCCCCTCGGGGTTTGGGGAGGGTTAATGATGTCCGCAGAGAGTCCCAGTTTCTCTGGTTCACAGTAGGGCCATACTATGGCTCCCTTTTTCTTCTTCGCCCTCAAGTTGAGGGCCTGGTGCTATGGTGCGGGTGGGTGAGAGAGGACTTCCTGGGGGAGTGTGCCCCCGGGTGTCGTGGGTCTCAGTGCAGGCTGGGAGCTGCATTCTAGGGGTCTGAGGCAAGGAGAAGGCCGGCTGCGGTGCCCTGGGCTGGGCAGCTCTGGCCTCTGGCCCTGCGTTAGCGTGCACCTGTGACCCCAGGTGCTGCTGCGAGTGAAGGAGAACGAACTTCAGTACCTGAAGAAGGAGGTGCAGTGCCTCCGGGATGAGCTCCAGATGATGCAGAAGGTAGGTCCTGGCTGAAGCAGGGTGTCAGCGGGTGGGGGACCTCGGGATCCAGCTGGATGCCCCATCCTGAGCCCCTGCTCTGTGCCAGGCCCTCCTCGTGCCTCTCCCCCGAGGTGTCATCCTCATTTACAAAGAAACTGAGGCTAAGAAAGGGTGACCTGCTCAAGGCCACGCTTGCTCTTTTTGATTCAGCAAATATTTACTGAGCACCTGCTCCGTGCCAGGCATGGTGCTAGGTGCTGAGGAGACATCTGTGAGCCAAAAGGCCAACATCCCTGCCTGTGCAGAGCCTGCATTTCAGGGAACAAGCCATGTTGCCAGCGGGGGGTGAGGGTGGAGGTGGCGGGGGGGCTGGGATTCAGGACCGGTTCTGTGAGTGTGTGGCTTGCCTGGTGCCATGTCCCTGTGTGTTTGACACCCTCTGTGTGTCCGTGGCTCTGCGAGTGTGTGAGTCAGACTCATGGAACGGGCCCAAGTGTTGGGCCACGCTGACCTGGTTCTCCTCCCAGCCACCGGGTGCAGTGTGGTCTTGGGCAAAAGCTTCACCTGCCTGAGCCTCCGCTCTCACGTTGAGCAGGTTGCAGATGGTGCTGAAACCGGTGGTGCTGGGAGGGGCTTGTCCAGGGCTGGGCCGCGAGGGGGCCTCCTGGCGGGAGAGGCCTGGTTGCTGGTGCTGGCCAGTGGGGAGCACGTGGGCATGTGCTGAGTGGCAGGGCCAGGGAGGGAGGGCTCTGTGCCCTTATCGCCCCTGCCCGCCCCCAGGACAAGCGCTTCACCTCAGGAAAGTACCAGGACGTGTACGTGGAGCTGAACCACATCAAGACGCGGTCGGAGCGGGAGATCGAGCAGCTAAAGGAGCACCTGCGCCTCGCCATGGCCGCCCTGCAGGAGAAGGAGGCGCCGCGCAACAGCGTGGCCGAGTAGAGGTGAGCCGGCCTGGGGGCGCACTCGGCGCTGTGCCACCTGCCAGGGCACGCCCTTTCCCTGGCCTCTGCTTCCCTTTCTGTAAATGGGGACAGTGGCACTTCTTAACCACAGCCTGGTCAGTCCACGCCTCGGCATGGGTGGCAAATGCGGTGCCGGCCCCCCTCAGACCTGGCAGCAGGCACACGGCACTAATAGTCTTCCTTCCACCGAGCTCCGCACCCAGACATCCCGACGCGGGGCAGCTCCCTCTTGCTGACAAGTCCCGTGGACGGCTGAGCACTCGGGAGAGGCCGCCTGTGGCCGCTGTGTGGGGAGAAGTCTGGAGGAGCAGGTCCGGCCCAGCCTTTGGGGCCCAGAGGTGTTGGGAGGACCTCCTGGCCACCCTTGCGTAGCCTAAGCCACGCTGGGCCCAGGACCAAGGCTGGGCTTCCCCAGGCCTCACCAGCCCCTCTCTTGTCTTCCAGGTCCTGTGGTTCGGCCCAGCTGCAGACTCCCAGCCCAAGGGGACCAGTTGCCCTCCTTCCCTGCTGGATGGAAGTCAGAAGCCAAGCTTTCTCCCCACCCTCTGTGGGCTACACGTGCACTCACAACTATCACACACAGGCACGCACACACACTGCACAGGCATACACACCGCACAGGTACACTTACACTGCACAGGGACACACACACACCTCACAGGCACACACACCGCACAGGCACACACACACTGCATAGGCACACACACACACTGCATAGGCACACACACACACTGCATAGGCACACACACACACTGCATAGGCACACACACACACCGCACAGGCACACACACACACTGCATAGGCACACACACACTGCATAGGCACACACATATGGGCATACACATAGGCACTGCATAGACACACACACAGGCACAACAGGCATACACACACAGACACACAGGCACTGCACAGGGACACACACACAGGCACCACAAGGCATGCACACCCAGGCACACACACTCAGGTGCACACATGTACACCACACACATGCACAGGCGCACGCACACACTCTCTGCGTATCTGAGCGTGCCCCTCGCACTGGGTCTTCTTACCTTGCACCTTCTTCAGGATTTTATATGTGAAGAGATTTTTATATATAGACTTTTTCCTTTTTTTTTTTTTTCCCCCCAAAACACGTACTTTTTAAAAAGCGATACCTGGTGGCTGTGTGCCTCCAGCACTGGCTCCCCTGTCTCCAGCCTCCCGCTTGGGCTCCTGGGGCCGTGGCCCTGCCCCGGGGTCTGGCAGCGGCCCTGGCAGAGTTGATTCTGGTGGGAGAGGCCAGGAGCCAGCCACCCTCCTCCCACTCTACCTCCCGCTAATTACTTCCTGCCCTGGAGGGTCCTGCGCCCTGGGACTCTGAACAGCGGGACTGAGGGCGCCCGCCTCTGTCTCCATGGCCCCACCTCCCCCTCGGGGTGCTGGGCGTGGAACTGGTGGAGCTGCTGTGAAGGCCGTTTTCCTCCTGCTCCATCGCCTTAACTTAATAAAGTGTTCCTGCAGCTCTGGTGTCCTGGATGGCTGGGGCAGGGCGGTGATGGAGGTGGGTTCCCCCCCCTCAGCCCCCAGCACTGCACCCTTCCTGCAGGTGGCCTGTGGGCTTCTGAGGGCGGAGCTGAGGATCTAGCTCCTCCTGCAGGCGATGCTCTGCAGCTCTGCGCGGGTTACAGACCAGCACCAGCACCCCCACCAGGGAGCTGGTTAGAAACACCAAGTCCAGATCCCACCGACCTACGGACTCAGTGTCCGCACTACATTACAGTCCCAGTGGTTCATGCACCTCTGAGACGCCCTGGGGTGGGCGCTGGTCCCAGCTGGACCTGAGGCTGCCCCTGACTCACCTGGCAAGTCACATTCCCTCTCTGAGCCTCCATCATATGGGCGCCTTTTAGTCCCAGTCCCTGAGGCTATGCCCAAAGGTCATGCTCAGCCCTGGACAGGGTCGGGTGGGGGCAGTGGATGTGGGAGGCCTCGTCACGGCTGACTGGATGTGCTGATCTTGGTCACATGTGGGTTGGAACAGGCCCCCCTGAGCTGCCCCAGGCCAGGCCGGCTGTCCAATTAGCAGGGCTGTGGCTATGATGAAGACATAAGGACAACTTGAGCCAGCTTCACCCTCATGGCTGTTCCCATCAATCCTCGGGCACCTCAGACCAGGCACAGGTGCATAGAGATGAACAAGAACTGGCCTGGCCCCACTGCAGCCACATCAGGTTGGGCCCTAGAAGGCTGTGGGAACCTGGTGTTCAGGAGAGACCCGCAGGGAGCATCCTGATGGGGTTGGGGAAGTGGGCCTGTTCCCTCGCCAGCGATGGGTTAGGATTGGGCATGGGATGCCGTTCCAGCCACTGAGATGCAGGAAGTATTGGTTGGAGGTGGAGGGCCAGAGGGGTCATCTGGGAGGTCTTTCTTGATCTTAAAAAGGGTCCCAAAGCCGTGTCTGGTGTGGCTCGGTTGGAGCGTCGTCTATGCACTGAAGGGCTTCAGGTTCGATTCCCTGTCAGGACTCATGCCCAGGTTATGCATTTGACCCCTGGTCAGGAGGCAACTGATCAATGTTTCTCTTCTCCCTTCTTCTCTCTCTAAAATCAATAAAAACGCATATCCTACTTTAGCCAGTTTGCTCAGTGGATAGAGCGTCCCAGGTTCAGTTCCACTCAAGGGCACAGACCTTGGTTGCAGGCTCCTCCCCAGCCCCGGCCCTGGTCAGGGTGCGTGCAGGAGGCAACCAATCGGTGTGTTTCTCTCACATGTTTCTGTCTTTCCCTCTCTCTTCCACTCTCCCTAAAAGATCAATGGAAAAATATCCTGGGGTGAAGATTACCAAATAATAAAAATTAAAAAACGAAACTAAACATCCTCGGGTAAGGATTTAAAAACGGGGTTGGGGGTTCATAAGGGGGAGACTTCTCTCCTGGCCTTTGGACAGTGTTGGGGGAAGTCCTGACATTGCCACCGTCTTGCCTAATCAACGGTCAATAGTGGCTGAGCAGAAAGAATCAGGATCCCTGAGCCATCGGGCCCCCCTGCCTCTGGACTTCCTGTCTCATGAGATGGAGTGTCTGCACGGCAGCTCAGTATCCAGAGAGTTGAGTCCAGATCCCCACCCATCCTCCCTGTGCTTTTACCTCCCACCAGCCCTGGACACCCCTCAATTCCATCCTCAGCCCCCATGACTCCCTCAGCCAACTGGGTTTCCCAGCGTGCACCTGGGCTGAGGCACCACCCTCAGGGCCCCCTGGGCAAGCTAAAGTCAGGCCAACATGAGATGTCACTCTCCACCTACGAGAATAGCTCAAACTAAGAGGCCTGACAATCTCAAGTGTCTGCGAGGATGTGGGACCTGGGTTCTCGCGAGTCGCTGGTGGCAGTGCCCTTTGCGCCACCACTGTGGGCAAGAGTTTGGCAGATTCTTAGAAACACACATCTCCCCGATGACCTAGATTTCCACTCCTGCATATACACCCAGGAGCAATGTGCGTAGGGCCACAGAAGGACTAGGACAATAATATTCATATCAGCCTTATTCGTAGCAGCCCAAATCTGAGCACAATATGTATGTCCATCAACAGAAGGAATAAATAAATGTTATATTCATACACTAGACATGCTATATGGCAATGAGAAAAGAATTCCTGCTACGCGCAACATCACGATGAATCTTCAGACACAACGCTGAGAGAAAGAAGCCAGCCACAAAGGGCGCCGGCTGTACAATTCCACGTGTGTGACGGTCAAGGACAGGAAAACTGTCACTATGGTGATGGTCATGTGCCTCTGGGCTGGGCGGGGGGCTCATACTGACTAGCAGTGGGCACAAAGGACTTCCCGAGTGAGAGAAATACTCCGTCCGTGATCGGGTGGTGGTCACACGGGTGTGTACGCATCAAAAATGTACCGCGCTGTACGTTTGTGCAGCTGGCTGTGAAGCATGCCTCGAAAAAAAGCTGGTTCCAGCAGGTGCCCAGGTGAGCCACCTGGGGAAAGCCCCAGTCACCTGTCACACAGGGAATTTGGCCAAAACCACATGGCGTGGCTGCCAGGCACGTCCTATGGAAAGAGCGTAGGCTGGGAGCAGACAAACCCGCCTGAGTTCAGACCCAGCCGCCGCCTCCAGCTGCGTGCACCTCGCCGAGTTACAGCCCTCTCTGGGCTTGTTTCCCATCTGGTTTTTGTTTTGTTTTTAATCCTCACCCAAGGACATGCTTAGAGAGAGGAAGTGGGTGGGGGGCGGGGAGAGAGGGAGAAACATCAATGTGCGAATGAAACATTAATTGGTTACTGACCGGGGATGGAACCCGAAACCCAGGTATGTGCCCTAATTGGGGATGAGCTGGCAGCCCTTCAGTGCACAGATGACGCTCCAACCCACTGAAATGGGGACCATAATGTTTACCACCAATTATAGGGCGTGTAGGTATTAAATCACCAGCCCTGTCAACTACCTGTCGCTGTGTAGCCAACGGCCACAGCCTTAACGCTCAGATCAACTGTCTTCTATCATCACGCTCGGCCCCCTGGCTGCGCTCAAACCGGCAGTTTTCTGGGCGTCTTTTTTGCAGTGGCCGTTGCACGGTGGCTGGGCTGGAGCCATCTGAAGGCTCAGCTGGGTTGAATGTCCAAAGTGACTTCTTCACTCAGCTGGGATGACATGACAGGGACCCTGGACACGCCCCCAGTGGCCTCTGCACGAGGCTGGCTTGGCTTCCTCCCTGCACGGCAGGCCCCGGGGAGTCTGCAGTGACTTCTTCCTTGGTGGTTGACCTCCCAGAGGAAGAGAGTTTCAAGAGACCCCGCTGGGATTACAAGTTTCTGATGACTTAGCGTGGAAGTGCTGTGGCGTCGCTTTCATCACATTAGTCAAGACCGGGTCACAGGGAGGGGACAGATGGGTCACAGACCAGACTCAAGGGAGGGGACACCAGCAGGGCATGATGTGGGGGTGGTTCCCTGGGGGCCATCATTCTTCTCTGGCTCCCTCTCCTCCTCAGGCCATGAGGCTGGGGAGCCGTGTGGGGTTTGGGCTTTGTCACTTCCTTCTCACCACTGAGTCAGATTTCACTCCACCTCCCTTTACTCAGGTCCAGAGCTCCAGTCTCCCCAGCCCCACCCCATCCAGGGGCTCCACAACCACTCACCCCTCTCAGCCCCAGGGACCTGCAGTGCCCCTGGGTGGGTAGGGGACAATGTCACCCCATAGCGGCTCACCCTCAGAAAGCACTAACGATGCAGACCCCACCCTCCTCTTCCTCCCAAATGCCCCTGTTTATACCCCTGCCCCTGCTCTAACCCTGGACACCCCTCCCTCACTGGGGGCGGCGGGGGGGGGGGGCGGACAGGATGAGGAATGAGTAGGAGCTCAGGGCTGGGGTCAAACAGCTCTTCATCTGTATCCTTGCACTAGCTCTGCAAATTAGGGCAAGTTATGCCTTGGTTTCCTCTTCTGTAAAATGGGGATAGTAGTGCATAACTTGCAGAAGTGTTATGAACATAAAAAATGACCTAATAGCCCGGCCAGCATAGCTCAGTGGTTGAGTGTCGACCTATGAACCAGGAGGTCACTGTTCGATTCCTGGTCAGGGCACATGCCCGGGTTGTGGGCTCAATCACCTGTGTGGTGCAGGAGGCGGCCAATCAGTGATTCTCTCTCATCATTGATGTATCTATCTCTCTGTCCCTCACC